ATTAATATCTGAAGAAGGTTACAGCCATTAGTCATGCTGAATAATCACTGAATAATCAGCTGTTGTTTACAAAACTCTTCTAGTTTAGCCTTTATGTCTCTTCCTTCAGGCCTTCATTTCTCTGGCACTCTGCCGCCTTCCTAAGCCCTTAAAGCTTATACCTCCTTAGCCACTGCCTCCTGGGCCCTCCCCTATTACAGGGCTGCCTACTACCCTTAAAATATATAATATTTTAAGCTACTCTGTACTACCTATTCCTATGTCTAATTATTAGTATCTTAAAATAGTAGATGTAAATTTATATCTTAAAAGAGTAATATTTTCTAGAGGAGTAGAGGTAAGGCTATAACTATAAGATACTTAGTAAGATAGTAAGGGCCATAGGTGATAGGTCTAAACTCTATACTAGGAGTAAGTAGAGTAAACTCTGCCTAAGTGAAATTCAGAGCTAAAGCTAGGAGTGAGCAGACTCAGAGCAAGCGCTAGCCAGCTTGTAATCTATAATAGAATGTGACCTATATATATTAAGATTGAATATATATTATAATAGGGCTAAGATTGGCTAGAACTATGGTAATATTTTTCTGAGACATACTGGCCTATGTCCCTTAGTTACTAAGTTATGCTTATATTCATAAATCAAGTCTGCACTTAGTCATCTCATAACTTGAAGCGACATCTTAGCAATCAAGGCAAAGCTTGCCATAGTCGCAAGAGAGGTCAATGAGTCCTCAAAGCGAGACCTAACTTGATGTTAGTTCCGCTGTTATTGATCTAACTCCTTACAGAAAATGCGTTGAAGGCTCTCTATGCAACTTGTTCAGATGCAAGAGCTTTCTGAATAAATAGGTTATGTTGGAAACTTGGAATACACTTGTTTGATCAAGTAAGGACTGATTAGCATGTATGGTGACTGAGGCTCATCATCAACCTATCCCGGTCTTCGGAGAATCTTCATCCAACCCACTTGCCAGTCGCTCAAAGCTGAGTCAACCATTTTGCGCCTACGAGAAGGCATGTTTCAACAACGGGTTCAAAGTAATGGTAGACGTCAACCAAACTTGAAAGCAATTTTGGATGAATGTGATGGCTTGTGTGCCATATGGAAGGAAATTGCGCTATTTCTGCACAGGGAACCATGCATGAGCATCCATACTCACACTGCATATGACTAGGATTCCTGGACCAAGGAATTACATGAGCTCACACCATCTTCAATCAGCTCTCTTCCTGGCGTGAAATCTGTCCCGTATATTCTGCCTGGCAATTTCACTAAATTGATCCCAGTCCACATAGGGGAGCAGGTCGGCTGCTTCAGTATCCAGGCCGACGCCCTAGTCCGGCTACTAGGAGCTGGTCGCAGCCCGAATGGCTTTCATCTGTTTATCATGCCAATAAAACAGACGCACCCATACCAACTATCACACAATCACTTTGGCCCTTATGCCATCATACAACTCAGCATCAGTCAAGCCTAACAAGTACTGTGCGGAGAGTGCGTTGCCAGCAAAATTGAAATAAGACAGTGATGGCCAAAGGCCATTTCGCAGCCACCCAACAAAGTGTCTATCAATGAACGTGGCAAGGTCTTTCCTCAAGTCTGCTTGACCAGCTTTTATAATCAGTGATACTTTATCCATATCCGGAGCACTCATATCATGACTAACACCAGTAGGATGGTATCTTGACCTGATTTGAAGCCCCCAATGATACCTGGGCTTGGCTTTTTTCGTAGCTGCTTCAAGTGCTGCCGCGACCTAACAGTTATCAGGTCTGCTCAGAAACATTCCAAAAAGAGCATCCTCCTTTGTTGAAGCCGTAACCAATGTCGGGGCGTCACACTGAATGTTGTGCAGATCCAAAGCTCATACTTCGTAGACTTAGACTGGCGCTGCATAATCCACTGCAGGATGATAGTCACTGGGGTTCAGAGACTGTGTACTAATTTTGCCCAAAGTCTGCCCAGAGACGGGCTGCTCAAAAGAGTTTTGATCATAATCTATCTACATGTCAGTCGCAGCAATGGTCCTTTCTTGACCATCTTCAATGTCATGAGGCCCATGTTGCTTTGACTGTTCTTTTCAAGTAAAAGATAACATAACATACTATCTGAACGAAACATTATCAGATAATGCCTGCTCAAGAACAACAATATAGCATGCTACTGAGCTCTGCTTTACTCTACCATCCAATAAATTTGAACTGCAAACTCAGTTACCGCCTAGACAGAACCAGAGACTCGGATTAGCTTATGTTGAAACTTCTAAATTTAGGGAGGGTGGTAGTTATACTATGAAATTTTATGGTTCTTATGTGTCGGCTGGTTCTCTGCCTTCAATCTAAACAACTCATGGTTCATTTTTCCAGCAAATTAGCAGTCAGTCATACTGTTATGTTTATGACAAGGTTCATTGTGCGCAACTAACAAGCTGGAAAATTGTAACAGGGAAACAAGTATTAAACCACCACTGGATGTCTGGAATGGAAGCTAACAAACTCACAAAGGCAGAGACAGATAATTTTAGAAACATGGCCATGCCCTCTCTTTTTGTTTATTCACTCTACTTCTGTATATAAATAGATATCCTTTATTACTACCTAGATTCTATATTAGTTAGTTATTAGAGAGGTGGTGAATACTTCTTTACTCCTTCTATTAAGGGTTTAAGGGAGTAGTTTTAACTGCTATCTTGGTTAAATAAATCCAATCTTAGGCTCCCAAGGAAGACCAATTAGGAAGTTTTCATGTGGGAGGATCGCCTATTTAGAGAATATAAATAAGTAGCCAGTACAAATCATCAGAGCACATCTTGAGGCTTCAAGTCTTTGAATATTCAGCTTAGGAGAGGACATAGCCAATGGGACAAAGTGACCTCGTTCATCAATAACTGATCACATATAACTAAAAGGAATGTCAGACTAGCAGTGATGTTGTTGTCATGCTTCACATCTACCCCGGGGGTTGCGCCCCGAGGTGGTCATTAGTAACGTCTGGAAAAGGAAATATGTCTTGATTCCCTGCTACAATATTAGCAATGTTCATTTTTTTGTTGCATCCTTTAAAAGTGGTCATACCCTCAACAACCATAGAATCCTTCATTAGTGATAGACCAAGTGCTGCTCTCAATGCAACCTGCGCCATATAACCCTTGGCAACCAGACGATTCATAAGCAGCTGGGGTCTTCACACTATACGACCCGTGGGGTGTATTGTATGTCCATGAGAACTGCCCGCTGCCAAACCCTACTGACAGTCCATACCCATCTATGCAATTCGAATCAGCCGTCGAACTATGGAAGGTGCTCTGAGTTGCACCGGCACAGGTCGTGACACCATTGTCGACGAAGGAGATCAGGTCCCAGAGACAGTATGGTGCGAGACCCGGACAATATAATTTCAATGTGACTTCCAAACAGCCTCTAGCTGTACTTGCAAGGTATCCTACCAGCAACACTGCTGCTGTGGAACGCATTGTTGATTGGAGTTGTACAGCAGTTAATGCTAAAACGTGCTAACAGGACTCTTGACTATGAGGTCTGAACACTGTTATTTCAGAAAAGAAATTCTTGGACAAATTTAGGATGAATAAACTTACTGGGATTAGGGAAATCTTCAACACAGTTGATTGCTTGACCACAGATTCTATCTGAGCCATCTGATGCTCTCCGTCCCTTTATATAGACGAGATCATGTATCAATTACGATGTCTCATTATACTTGTCAGGCGCGCCAGGTGTGCTGCGCCTTCTATGATATCTGCTATCAAATCATAATTCTCCCTTCAGGGAGTAATGTTGTGATCTTACACAGCAATACAATGACTGCAGCTCTAGTTGGCCGCACTGGTTTTGGTTGTTCAGTTAAATGCCCAGGGGTGGAATCTTTCATTGTCTGTGGCTGTGCATTGACAAATCATTAATCATATTGCTATTACCCACGACCATATAAGATATGGCCGCCAAACCTTAATAAACAACTCGACATAAACTGTTAACCAGTGAAATCCATGTATTATAAGCCCCAGTGCCTCTGTCAGCCTGGTCGCTGACAGCCTCTGCGGAGGTGTGGTGGTGCCTATAAGATCCAGGCGTGACGAGCAATGCGAGCTGGTCATAGTTGTTTTTTGGCCTACATGGTAGCATCTTGCCTAGACAGCAAGACTTACAGTCTTGCCATTGCGCAAAAAAATCAAATTCGTGACATTTCTTTGTTTCTCAAAAATAACAATGTGTGTTGGGGCTTATGACCGCTGGCAAGAAACCTGATAATATATGTCGGGGGCCTAAGGCCACCTACCCACCCGCACAATCAGTTGATTCGGCTCGCAGCTCCGATGAGCTTAGCTTAGCTTAGCTTACAGCTGTCTCTGCATGTACCTTAGGCTGCTTCTCCTTCTCTATCTTATAGATAGAAGTATTAATGAGTGCGCTTCCACACTTTCCTTCTTAGTTTCTCTCATCAATGCGTTACTTGTAGATAAAATTCAACTGTCTTGATAATCTAGTACCTAGAATCTTAGAATTCAGCAAATCTTAGTATAATTAATCCCTTAGGCTTTCGTATGATAGTAGCATTCGAAGTGCTGACCTTATTTCGTTACTTTCACCAGGGGCTACATTACTGTGCTGCTGGTGCCGGACTTCAAAAAGGTCTCCCAGTGAGGGAAGTTTCCTGTGGAGCAAAACAAGCAAATCAATCGGTTAGATACTTTCTATAGAATAGGACATACTAGATGGCTATCGCCGCTTGTAGAAAGTCTTACTGTGCCGGATTGATTACTGCCTAATTAATTGATTTAGGCCTTGCCTTGCCGGGAGCGGGGAGATCTTACACAGTTCATATCTGAGATGTTCTGGGTAAAAGGATGTTCTGCCTTGTGTAAAAAGCCCAGAACTATTATGTAAGACAGGTTCCGTAAGCCCACCATTTCATGGACAGGCATCTTTGCTCAGCCCTCATTATCCCAACCATCATTGCAAACACACGAAGACCTTTAGATATGGCTAACCGAAAGAATGCAAAGAGAGGTATTGAGAAGGTCATGGGTACCCCTTCAAGGACCCCAAGCTTGTGGACGAAGCCGTTGCACGAGACCAGAACGAACGTCTTGCCTTTCTGGGTGACAAAGTGGTCGCATTGATTCTGCTGGACATTTGGTACCCAACTGAGAAGAGCGGAAGTATGATATGTGCATTTGTGGATATGTATCTCTCTATGCTTATTAGACACAGCGCAGGGACGCCCCCACCTTGAAAGTTACGCAACCAACAAGGCCATGACTCACCAGGCCATCAGGCTGCACCTGGGCACATTTGCCAGGCCAGGTCCAGCTCAATCTCAGCAAAAGGCTTTGGGCGTCCACGGCCTCGGAACCGAGATCGAGGCACTTGTCGCTGCCGTCTGGATTAATTCACAATGGAATGTTGAGGTAGTGAAAAATGCCATGAAGCACCTGCACCTTTGTCCTGAACATGTGTGAGCATTCCATATTGCAGCGTCTTTCTTCTGCAGCTGTCTGGGGAACAGCACCAGTTGGAGCCTTCAGTGCTGACAGCCGTCGAAAGGCTCCAACTGGTGCTGTTCCCCAGACAGCTGCAGAAGAAAGACACTGCGACATGGAATGCCATGGTATCAGATTAAAGCTCATCTATAAAAGCGCATATCTGCGCCTCTATTGCTCGACGGCTAGTCAAGTACTTGATGACCACATCCTTCCGTTGGCTAGCATTGTTTGCTTAACCATAATGTTTTTGAAAGAGAAAATAAAGTAAAGTAATGCCATTGTCAACATTTCAGAATCAATAGATAAACTTGAATGCTTCACTCAGGCTCCCTTTTGTTGGCTATCATGCCCTAAGACTAGCAGCTCTTAGATTGATTGTGGATTACATATGGGTTGATCCACGCTATACTTGATCCAACCCATGCAGTATCTCTTCTATATTAGTGCTCATTTTAATATTAGCTCTCTCTCGTTGTCTTTACTCGATCACCTATTTTTATTACTATAAATAGTAAGCTTAACCAGGACATCCGCCATAGTTGATGGTTTACCCGCAGCCAGACGAGAAGTGACTGCTGTAAGAACCTGCCGCTTGAGGGATTTCAGCTGCAGCCTGCAGCTGAGAGGTGGCTCAGGTGGGTTCCGGACGGATACAGAAATACTCTTGGATAACATGTGAACTGTGGATGGCTGTAAGGTTACGGCCATTTTAGTCATTTAGTCCTGTCACCCTAGCATTAGTACCTTTTAGGGGTATTTAATGATCCATCATGTATACGTTTGGCTAGAACCATGGCAATATTTTTCGGACACACACTGGGCTATGTCCCTTAGTTATGCTCATATGCATACATAAGTCAAGTCTGCACTCAGTGATCATTCCATAAACTCAGCCATTTTCAAGTTGCTACTCCGTGCAAGAAAATGAAGCTGCTTCTCCTCTTTGCCAGCACTGCCCTCGCAACATGGCACAAACCTCTACCTGGGCACTTGTCCCTCCTCACTCGCGACTATAACGGCAACTGCACTGCCAAAAACACCTGCTCTGACTGCTACGGCCCAGGAAACATCATCTGCGACAACGCAGGCTGCTTCAATCCAGAAAAGGGGGAGCAATGCTGCAAAGACGGCTGTATCTTTCTCCCCATCACGTCAACCTATCCTACCACTACTAACACAACTAGATTCCTGTGTAGCAAAAGATAACTCCTGCTGCGATGCCTTGGTACCCTCTCCCCTATTCCTACATCCCCTACCCATACTGACGACCAAAAGGGAACAGGAACACCAGGAAGAGACGGCCTGCTCCCCTTCCCCACCACCTCCTCAACAGCAAGCACCCTCGACACGATAATCTGCACGGCCCAGCAAACCAACGAACAATGCTGCACGCAGAACGATCCGTCCTTGAAATGGTGCTCCGGGAGTTACCCCAACCAATTATGCTACAACCCCAAGTATCAGAACTGCTGTTCCGAGGGGACGGTGTGTTTCGGCGAGGGGTGCTGTGCTCTAGTCGTATGTTTCTTTCCTTTGCCTTCTGCGATAGAATCTGACGAGGGGTATCTAGAGCGCGAGCGCTATCACGCCTGATCCTGCGCTTGCAACTGCGTTGCCGGGTGGGAATAATGAGTCCGTGTCTGTGTCTACGTGGGGGCCGGGCACAACCTCGGTGAAGTTGGGTACTGGCTCTGCTATTATTGCAACTGCAACTACAACCACAACTGGCAATTCGAATCCGACACAGAGCACGAATGCGGCTCTTGCGAAGGGGATTAATGGCGTGTTGATGGGCGCTGGAGTGGTCATGGCGGGACTGGGCTTGGAGCTTTAGGCTTGAGCGCGGGGGTTTGTCTCCTGACTTCCTGACAGGAACAGGACTAATAGCCTGCAGCTAGGGCCAACGCGGCTGGATACGAGATGATCATTTTATTCACCAGTAGGATGAGGCTATGGTCAATGCCAAGGCAAAGTAATTTAGTTCTCGTATAGAATGGCGCCTACCAATGTGACGGTGTGCAGGGTCGTATTCGGGGTGGTGCCTCGAATAAGCGTAGTCTGAGGGTACATAATGTATCCGAGGACTGGTTTTATCGAAAGGCGATGAGACTAAGATATCATGACCAGCCTCACAGTTGCAGAGGTCTCAGGCTTGATCGCCGCGGGCGTGTTCATCCTGCAATTACTCCTTCCGCTGTCTCTGCCACTTATCCTCATCGCTTTCCTGACTGACGAGAACTCGATCATCAGTTGGTGGGTAGTCCGTCTATCTGTCTGTGTCCTGCTTAACTGATCTGAGACAGGAACGTGCTCGCCCGCTTTCTCCACTCAACCCTATGGCCCAGCATTCTTGGCTCCAGCACGGCGGCCGCATCAGGTGTGCAGAAGAGGCTGACTATCACCGGATACGCGCAGACGATCATCCTGGGCGTTGTATCCATCGCCTCGATCGTGACTCCACTGGGCCTGTATGACTCCATTGAGCCGGCAAGCTCACCAACAGCCGAACCATTCGCCTACATCAAAGGGACCTCAGCGTTCAGCTACGGCACGCCCGCTCGCAGCGATGCCCCGTTCACGCGCAACTGCGGCCTCCAACGGGCTTGTCCGGGGACGAGTCTGAACAAGACATGCCGCCAGCAGGGCCTGCTGGAGAATTGTACCGTCGTCTATGACAGCCTTGGCCCGGAGCACTTGCAAGATGTATTCCGCGACGGGGCGAGCGCGTTCGGTCCATCGGTCTCGAGTATTTTCGACATGCAGTACCGGACCTTCATCAATGGGACAGACCCGTACAGTGTGCTGGGATGGTATGCGAAGCCGTCGTATCGCTCGCTGCAAGTTCTCATCCTGGACGAAAAGGTCGAGGCTGTCGAGGGTTTGATTGTTGATATGGTGGAGGGAGGGATAGGGTTTAGGAATCATACAGCGCCCTCCAAAGCGCTCAAGTACGGCTCAACCTGGGACGAGGATATCCTGTTCATCCAGCCGGAGACGCAGTGTGTGCCGTTGAACTTTTCCATTGATTTCCAGCTGCCGTCCGACCTCGAGACGAGCTTGTCTGTTGTTAATCTGGTGTTGAGGGATCACGGGGGGCTGTCGAATATCGTGCAGCCTCGTCCCTCGATCAGCATTCCTGTAAACGGGCAGGAGTTTGATTTGCGGCAGAGAGCGTGGAATGCGGCATGGTATAACAACTTTCTAACCCTGGCATACTTTAATGCGACGGATCCGGATCCTACAAACATCACCCGTCTGGATGTCACGCCAGGACAGACGTTCAAGCTAGAGAATGCGAACTTTACCCTTGGATATCGCAGCATCAAGAGCACAATCAGTCTGGGAGAGTACCTCAATCTCCGCGTCAACAACTCAACCATCAACCCCCACGGAATCACCCAGAAAGACTTCGATTTAGCTACAACCCTCTGCGGCGGCACGACCTCGTCCAGCCCATCCACCATCACCAGCGCCCTCATCGGCTGCGGCCTCGTCTACGGCGCCGCCAACCGCACCGACGGCGTCTCCCCGCTACGAACAGACCCAAATTCCCCCTGGAGCATCCCGCTCTACATCTGCGCCAGCGCTGTAAAGGCCAGCCTCAAAACAGTTTCCTTCGGCTACAACGGCACCGGCCTCGACGCACTATCCATCACCTCCCTCTCCCAAAAGACGTACCCCTCTCCCCCGCTCTGGGCCGTCGAAGACCTCCCAGACCGATCCCTCGCAGATGTCCAGCCGCTGTGGGGCATCCTCCCCGCAAACACAACATCAGCAGTCAACCTGTCTACAATCGCAGGCCCCTCTCTCTACCTACCCGGCTACATCGACACCACCACCACCCCCCTCACGGGCCTCGCACCCGTCCCCGTCTCCACAGGCCAGAACCTCCCAGGCGTAGACTTCTACACGCAGTCCCTCTACCGCGCACTCAGCATCAGCAGTCCAGCAGGCCAACCCTACGCAGATTACTCCGGGTGGACGAGTCTCGCCCTCTACGCCAAGTGGCAGGCCCTCTCGACGACGGCTACAGGCGCAGCGAAGATCATCGATCTCGTGTGGACGGATTTCGCGGCCAATGCGATGGTTGGGACTAAAGCTGCTGCGGAGCAAGATCAGGTGCTCCCGGTTACGGTGTTTGAGAGGCGGATACGGTATAGGCTTCCGTATGCGGTTCCGGGCATTGTGGTGCTTGTTGCTGCGTTGGGGATTGTGGGGGGTGTGGTTGTGTTGGGGTGTATGCGGCGGACTGGGGTCGGGCGGTTGAAGGGGTTTTTGGAGAGGACGGCTGTGGGGAGGGTACTGGGTTTGGTGCTTTTGGGAGAGGAGGGGGAGATGGGCAAGGACTGGGTGGAGAAGGTGGGTGGGAAGAGGGTGAGGATTACTGAGGGAGGTATTACAGTTGAGCCAGGGTTACTGAGTGCAGAGATGAAGAGAGATGGACATGAAAATGATAGTGCAGAAGTAAAAGGCTAAGATATACTCGCTACTATACAATGTCACTTTTCATCGTGGCAAGGAGACAGGGAATTACTTGCTCATCCTCCTCTTCTTGTTTGCATGCTTGGGATGAAAGCTCTCGGCGTAGACCTTGAAGAACTCAACCGGCTCCTGCGGATGACCACCCGTCACATCGTGGAACGCCGTGGTGGAGATGTAGTTGGTCTTGCCCTCGCGGACAAGCGAGTAGTACTCGAGCAGATACTGCAGCTCCGACTCGTCGCTCTCCGACTGCGCCTGCAGAACCTTCTTTGCCTCGGCCCTGAGACTGTCAGCTCGTTCACTGTCAGGCGGTGACTGGAGGGGAGACGTACTCTGAGATATCCTCAAATTTGAGGTCCGTGCCCAGCGCCTGGCTGGCTGCGCTGGCTAGTTCGTCACCAGTCGTGAGCATGGGTCCTGCGCTGTTAGCTGCGCTCAAGCTAGCTTATTGAGGCGTCATACCAGTCAGAACCATCAGTTGGCCGCGGTGCTGATCGGCGAAGCCGTGCTTGCCTTTGCCGCAGAGGACATGGGCGACGACTTGTGGGACGTCCTATCTGGTCAGTTTGCATTTCTATGACGGAGGATAAGACATACACCCAACGCAATAGGAGCAAATTTATGATTCGTCCCGACGGGAAGAGGGAGGATGCCCTCCTTCTGGGCCTGCTCCGAGTACAGCAGGAGATTCTCAGCGTAGAAGCCAGCCCTACACATGTCAGATTGCCCATTGCCTCTTTAAAAAAGCAAGAATAAGGAAGAGTGAGGATACCTAACAATAACAGGCGAATGCCCCGTCTGAGTAGACGACTCCCCCTTGGAGGCCATAAACGCCGCCTCGAGGTCGATAAAGCTCCGAAGATGAGGCTGCCTGTCACGCTCGGCGAGATCGCATCCCGCGGAGCTAACAAAACAGACATTGGCGATATTGGCCTTCTTCGCCGCCTCGATCATCTCCATCGTGATGTCGAACTTTTCTTTATGCGCCGGGGGAATCAGGCAGAGGACCTCGGCGCCGCTCTGCTGGAGGGTCTGCACGGTGTGATTCAGACGGCCCGGCTCGTGCGGGACAATCTTGACGCCCAGCTTGGCGAGCTCCTTGCATTTTTCTGCGTGGGGGTGCAGCGTGAGACCCGTGACGGACTTGATGTTGGATTTGAAGGTCTCGTCTGTGAGGAGCAGCTCGGCGATGAGGAAGCCGGTGTGGCCGTCTACAGAGGTGATGCAGATTGTGCGGGACATGTTATCAATCAGTCAATTATTCCCAATTCAATTGTTCGCAGTTTTGAAGATTGACTGCTGAATGGTTGTTGATTTGTGCTGTTTATACTAGGGCTAAGCGCATACCGCGTCATTGTGCTATCACCGCCTGGTGAGTTACCTGAATCATGCATGTTTCTGGAAACTTGGCTTCAGATCTTGTTTCCGGTATCTGGGCATGTGGCCTGATCTACCAATGACGTCCAAGTGATCTATGATGCAGATGATGGTCTTGGTCTAGATCCGGCCGCACCTACATCTCCTTAGCAATCAATTCGAAGTCTACTACAGTCCACAGTCTAGACCTAGGAAGTATAATGGCAAATAGAATTGATACTATTACAAACACTACTAATGGCCCATAGGCCGGTCATGACCCATAGGCGACTGTTGACCTTCATGCGGCCACTTGCGGAACAAATCAGCCAGCTGATCAATTGGAGCAGTCAACAATCCCACAGCCGTCTCAAATGGCGGCTTGTTGGGGGCACTGGGATGCGAGCGCGTCGGCACGAAAATCTTGGTCCGGTCGAAGCTCTTGGAAAGACTGACGCTGTCGTCGTGGGACAGAGCCTCGTCGAGCTTGACCAGGTCGTTCATTTCTTCTTCCTTGATGTGCTCTGCGAGATCGGCCATCAGGGATTTAATGGTGGGAATGAACTCGGCGCTGGAGGGGTCGAGGTTCTGGAATTTCTTGAGTTTTTCTTTGACCTGTGGTCGTCAGTTTTCATCATTGGAGGTTAGTGGAAAGAGTACAGTTTGGTGTTCCCTCCTGTCCTTGTCTGCCATGGCAATTCCATCTGGGAGATGTTTCTCAAATGCAGGATAGACGACCAGTTCCTCGCCGATGGAGTGCCGGGCTAGTTCCCAGGTAAACAGATTCTGGTAGCGGGTCTGCTCGTCACGGTCCTTCGCGTTGATGATCCTTTGATAGCAGGCTTCGATCTCGCGGTGATCCTGTTTGACCGTGTCGATGATTCGTCCGATCATTTGGATGGGTGAAGTGGAGACGGTTCTTGCTGTGATGGGAAAGGGTTGGAATCTGGAGATGGAGATGGAGAGTGGGATGGGCCGTAGGAGTCGTATGGGAACAGCCATTTTGTACGGTTATGGCCTACCACTTACAGGGGCTGTTGGATTATATAGCTGGAGGTGCGATGTCATGATGAGAGGGTGGCCGCTTAGCTGTCCAGCTGATTGGACTGGTCATGTCGTCACCGCCAGTATCCTGTCACTCAGGATAGGAGGATATAGTTTCCAGCATTCGTCTTCCGTCACCATGAGATAGTAGCTGTAGCTGTAGCGGTCTAATGCCAAGCAGCCGCTGTCTGGGTGATATCTGACATGTCTCCAAATCTGATGCGATATGCACTATATATTTGATCTGCACACTCGTAGCCTTGCATGGAAGGATAGCTGTCTAGTCTAGAACAGTCTGCCACCCTAATAGCTTGCAGGTCTCTAAGTCTGTACTGACCCCGGATGGGGTAAGAGTGACGCCATATCTTGGCAGTGATCATTGACTCTATTAAACCCGACTTTCCTCTCACCAGTCAATTGATAATAGGAAAATTGTAAATATGTGTCATAAATAGTAGTTTGTTGCAACATGCATTGCGACAGGGATATCCCAGAATCTTCTTATTCTTACTCTTATTATCATAGGCAAATAGTTGCTTATCCCCAATGGAAAAGACAAGGTTCTGCCGAAGCTTGATTCTACAAGGAAGCAGCCAGTGATGTCATCAATCATGACCACTTGAGCATCAGCTTCCATAAATAGTCATGCTGCAGCACATTATATTAGTAGAAAATAAATAGATCACTTGTACGACACAGGGATTTCCATCCGTCCTATTGCCATTGATAAACGCAACATGGGTTCCCAGGCACATTCACACTCATCCAAACATGCCATCAAACTACGAGGAGCAGGAGGCGCCAGCGTAAGCATTCCTGGAAAGCACGTAGGTGTCAAATATTAATGAGAGTAGGCGCAAGGCACACGATCCTCGCAGCAGGATCAATACACAGTAATCCTTCCGGATCAAATCCCCAAGACCGCGATTCACGATGAATTAGCCATCTTCGCGGTCTATGACGGACAGTAAGACTAAGACCCCTCATTATTATTTGAACTATATTAATGAGAACAGTGGCTCCAGAAAGGTCGCGCAGCACGCAGCGCGACACATCAGGGAGCTCCTCTTTGAAGGTGACGCGCTGCAGGCCGGTCGGTATGAGGACGCAATCCGACAAGCCATCCGAAAAGAAGAGGAAATGCTTCTTGAAGAATGCCAAGATGGGGAGGACAAATTCGCGATCGCCGGATCGACGGTCTCGGTGGTGATTATCAATCTTACCCAGGGCGTGATGGTGGTAGGTAACCTGGGCGATTCGCATGTCCTCATGGGCGAGTGCGACATAACCGGACAACTGGAAACTGTGGTATGCACCCACTCCCGGTACAGTAGATAATAGCTAAGAGTGTAGCATCGGTTGACGCAAGACCACAAACCTGACAATCCGAGAGAGAAGGAGAGGATCGAGAATGCGGGGGGGAAGGTCAACTATGGGTTGGACACTGCGCGGATAGGTATGTTGCCTTTGCATTACTGACCAAAAGTCTAACTAGAATAGGAGCCTTGAATATGTCACGCGCACTGGGGGATCTGCAGTATAAAAACCCGCTTAACAATGATACTGCAGGCCCAAGCACTGCAGGCCAGGAACTAGCGGCGATGACCCCGTCCATTGAACAGGGCAACTTCTTGTCTACTGAGCCATCTATCATCCGGGTAGACCTGCGGCAAGATCGTCGGTATATTCTGGCTTTGACGACAGACGGTGTCACCAACGTGCTGGAGGATAATGTCGTCATCGATGAAATCAAAGCACGGCACGAAGGGGGACTAGGAGTGCAGCAGGTGGCAGACGAGCTGGTCCGGGATGTTGCAGAGGGCACGCGGAGGGATAATGCGACATGTATCGCGGTGTTCCTGGATGGATGTCTGTCTTGACGATGCTATACAAGTCAAAATCAGACTTCTGCTTGTGAAATGATAGAGGCATTCATGATCCAATATCATGCATCTCGAGCTGTTTCTCTACGGGCAAGTCCCGCCATAGAATTGACGCCGAATATTCCACCGTTCCAGCACGTTAGTACATGGTGTTTCGCTGTTACTAGACCCAAACCCGTGGATTCTGTTCTGCAATTCCTCTCCACTGACTTCCACCTTGCTTCCATTCCTGCTCCAGGTGGCGCTGGGGTTAATGCGGAGTATATGCAGTTGCGCAGGGTGGACTGTAAGCTTCCATTCTCGGTCCTGGTCCCTGCACATATCTGTATAGATGGGTTTCTCTTCACTTGATTCAGTCAGATTTACAACCATCGTGACTGTCAGACCTTGCGGATCAATGCGTAGACGAGCCCTTCCTTCATGACCTATCGTACAGGGAAGTGACGGTCTCTGATCCGTTGTGACGGTGCTGAGCGAGGATACATTAGTCTCAGAATGGAACAGCTCTTCCAGCGATTTGAGCCCGGTCGATCGGAGCAGGCAGAACCTCGGACACAGTTGGAACAGAAAATGACCGCTAGCCGCCTCATGACTGGAAGGACTAGGGATATATGCCCCTACCACAGCTGTACACATCTCATCGGTAAGCAACAGAATATGTGGATAGTCATCACCTCGAATTTGTTCAAGCAGAAGGTCCATTCCCACGTCTTCCGTCCGAGGCAGCAATTCTAGGCAAGAATCACTTGGCCCGGAGGCGTCCATGGCGAATGGAAGCAATAGAGAAATTACGGTCATGATACGGTTCGGTAAACATCCCTCTGGTGGTACGATTGTCTCCCGTAGACTACGTGGCTGGAATATAACTCCCCAGAGGTTGTAGAATCGCTCGCGAAGACCCGGCTGTACAGGTTAGAGCCATCTAATCATAAGCACAAGGGATACTCACTAGAATATCTGCCACGATTCCAGCATCGATCGTCTGGTCTTCATTGCAGATCGCATCCGCAATACTGTCTGCCAGTTTCTGGCAAGCCGATGACGATTCGTCATTGAACATCCCCGAAGGCAAACATGAGCCTTCGACATCCCACACTCTCAGCTGCAGGAGTAACCGAACGAAAAGTGAGAACTCATCTTGAAAAAGTTGACGCCCCATCGAACCCCTAGGTAGTATCCTCTCGGCCGCATCTCGAAGCCGATCCGGCGACGGCACCAGAGTCATCGGGTACGGCTGCGTCGTAACCAGCACGCCCATTACATCGTGCACTGTCCACTTCTTCTCCGCAGAATAGACTTGCGCGGGTTCGCTAATACTCCTAAGCATCCTCCTGAAATCCGCTTCTCAAAATGACGCCTCGTCGTAACGCCAGTAGTGATCCCCACGCTGCTGTGTCCCTAGTGAATCCGTCCCCCGAAACACGAGGAGGGCAATCGCTCTCTGGAACCCCTTTACATCGATCCTGCTTCCGCGAGAACTGCGCGCGAATGGATAATGTGCGTAGAAATGCAGACACCGCCAGAGCAGATATGTCGTTTCATGGGAATCAATTTCCAGATGCCGACTGGCGACAAACCGGCGGAGGCTCTCGACGTCCCAGTCTACGGAGTTAGCGTTGTCATTTAAAAAGCTGAACGCGGACATACGGAGGCGTGCACCAAAAGTGTTGACGCACGCTAGTAAGCTTGGCTGTATCCTGCTGACGCGGCCCCCTAGTAATTTGTATGGCAACGCGTCTAGAAGGAGAAATCTTTGTTTACATTCTAGTATTCAACTCTTTGATACTATCCAAACTCACTATTTTCGTCGAATCTATTGATCCCTCACCATGCCTAAGAATGGTTACCATCTAATTGAATTACGCATTCAGATTCTCGGGCTCGCGCGGGCAATCAACTGCAGCTCGTCGTCATCATAGCAAACCATAAAACTCACTTCACCGTATGAGGTTCTCACTGGAGGTTGCGAGATACCTCCTCGGCGATGCTCAGATTCAGCTTAGTCATTTGACATTTGTCTGCCCGCTCGAACTAACTAAAACTGTAGGAGCGCGCCCCAAACTAAGGTAGTCTTGTGTTAATGTAAGGTACAGTACAGTACAGCAAAGTTCATGAAGGCAATGCGTGTTCGGAACTGCTATCCACTAAGCAGACTGTTAACGCTGGCGCCATACCAACTCACCAGATCCGCTAGACTGTTGAATATCACCGGAGTATCACCATGACCGCACCATACCACTTTCCACGAGTAGTCTCCATCCGTGGGTCGCACATATGCGTAGAAGATATCTAAACCCTCACCGCTTCCGCCGCCACATCGCCATGGGGTGCCGACATCCAGGCCCTTGTACCTTACCATTTCCCTGAGAAGGGCTAAATCTTCTCGAGCACCATAGGCGAGACCCATTGCTATCCATGTACGACCCATAACAGTAGAAGGATCAAGTCTCAGGGTTTGCTCGGTTTGTTCTGCGGAAGCCACCAGGGTCCGCTCGTGACGTTCAAAGGGAAGCCCTTCGATATCCAACCCGTCCGTGATAGACATCAACTCGATATAATCGGATGGCAGATCCAATTCGGAGATATCGGGGGATGCAATTTCGAGTAGCTTCAATTTCAGCCGATGTAGGTGAGCGGTTGGATCTGCCGGAGGTGGCCGGGTGCCGTCTGTGATGGCTATTTCGTCGCGAGAGGTCGGGCCATCGACCAGCCATTGCAGGTCTCCGTCGGATAGAGCGGACCATGAATGTTCGTTATACCGGTGAATGGTCTGCCGATATTGTGCCAACGCCTGAGAAAGAATGGAGGAGCTCGAATCCATAGCTTCTAAGATTCTGTCTGATAAAAATATGAACGAAGTTTTCTGTCATCAGTTCGGAAGTGCAGAATCAAGGAGACCCAGGGGATTGCAAGAGGAAGGGCTCGATCAGGCGATAGATCGGAGTAAGTGCTGCATGTCCTCCTGGATGGCCGAATAAAGTTCAGTTTCTGCCCCTGAAGCCGTTGAAGCTCCTAATTCTTGAATCACCGGACCCTTACTATAAAGAAGTTAATTAAGTGGGGGAGTGACATAGAGAATAAACAAAGCGGATTAGCTCGAGGGGAGGGGATTGTAAGAATCTGGGCCTTTACGTTTGCAAATTGATCATCTCTCTTGCTGTACTACTCTATACTACCCTATACTGCTCCATAAAAGGCTATACACATGCGATATCAAAAGGGAAACAGGGACCATTCTTCTTTCTTCAATGGTTAATGACTGGTTCAATTTATCTTCTTGACCATCTTTAATCTTCACTTTTGCATCCCTCAAGAGTCTGCACATAGAAACAGAGATGTTGGCTTCCAAGACAGTTTGCGCTCTTCTGAGCTGTGTAGTTGTCTCTCAGTTAGTGGTGAGGTTCTTTGAGTCCACCACTAGTGAGGAAATAGCACAGCATCATGAAGTACTTACTCAGTTTCTCCAACGGAACCAGCTGCTGATTGAAACCTACCCACCTCTATCTTTCCTCCTCTGTAAGTTCTCAGAGTATCTGCATCTACTATACAGTGCATGTAATATTTTTATCACAACTGGCACTAGTTTCTCATTATTCCTGCTTCTTCACACGGAACCAGTCAGCTCCCCACAACTGTTGCCCTTTGTCTTTGTCATTCTGCTTAGCTTCTCTGTGATTGTTTATTGCCCGGACCCGGCCTCCTCGACTCAATTATCCCCAATTATGATTGGAGATGTATTTTCAGAACTCTCATGCCTTGCGGCGTTAGCGCTATCGTTGGCGATACCGCCACCAAGGCAGCCTTCATTTCTAGGCATGAAAAGCGTATGCTTTCGGGGAGCTTTACTCGCTACCTCTTTCGTTTCTGGTCAAAATATAGTGTCTACATCAGCGGCATTAGCAACATTCCTTGCCATTGTCCTTTGGGATAATTTCCAACGTCTGGCAGATCATGGCATATCATTGGTATGTTACAACCGAACCATTGTCTCCTTACCATCTAATGGACCAAACTAATGCCTATGATAGTTCCGCGTGTTCTTGGAGATTCTATTCGCTATGTTGAGCCCCATTCTCTGCTTAGCCTTCTTGCTGTTGGTGATTTGCGCCTTTGCTTTTCCAGCCTCAGAGACCTCTTATGGTGGAAATTATAACCTTCGATATCTGTCCGCGCAAGCTCGGCGAACCCTACGCCCTGCGATGTCCCCAGGCTACTCTCAGATGCAGACATCAGCTTTAGAGGAGATCAATAGGTTGGACCATGGCTTTCCAATCTATCCTGGCTCTCCTCTAAGCATCTATATCCCTCAAGCAGGATTCCTGTGGTCTGACGACAAATATTGGAATGAAGATGCGAGCATATTTGAACAGATTGCAGATAATGAATTCGATGATACCGATTGGCAATTGGAAGGTGATGAGGAAAGCAACAGAACAGAACCACAACACCCTCGAGTCTACTTTTCAGATTCTGTGGGACGAACAAGTGAGTATCTCCATTGATCAAGTTTTCTCTTCATTATTATCTACCTTCCTTACAACCGCCTCCAAAACAACATAAAAAGAAAGGCACACCATGCTGATGGATCATAGAACCATGGATCTTCCAGAGACCCGTTACGGAATACTCAACAGCACTAAACACTCAGCCATTACAAAATGAGGATACAGTGTTTATACGTGATATTGAAACCGAGGGATTTCTAACAGTTGAAGAAAAACATTCTATCCTCGATAGATTTTTCACAGTGGAGATGCATGGTGGCCCTAGGTTTGAAGTCAGGTACATGGATTTCTTTTCCTTCCACTTTAGCCTTTTGGCACTGATAGCGGTAATAGCGTCCACCCATCTCCAACTCCACACTCTCTGTGGAGCATTATTTATGATCCCTTAGAGGACAATGGCTTCCGGCTGGTTAACGACCAGCAAAGATGCTATCTTACCTCTTTGTTTCGCAATTTTCCGGACTGGGATGGCACGATCAACGATACCATAGCATACATCCTACACATTGAGCTGGAGACAACCTGATATCGCCTCCCGCCTTTTTGTAGTTGATGAGGTTGACAAGAAGAGAGATGAAAAGACGTGGGTCAGAGAATTGAAAGAGAATTTCGACTTCAGCTCTCAAATCCTTGCGGCAATGTGGCGCTTGTTTCGCTTCAGAGAGAAATACCCTGATTGGCAAGACGTTCCTCGCTTTAGAGCCTCATCATCATCAATAGTGAGTGATGATGCTTGCAGCTGGCATACCGGTCTACTCCGGGTGTTTTGCTTTTTATTTGCTTTCAGGCTGGTTGGCCGCCAGAGAGGTGTTCTGGAAGTAGAAAAGCGGCCTGGAGTTGCCACCGCCATATATTCTCGATGGTCCTATGCCGTCGCAATCTTCTTGGCTGCTAGACAGATTCTCCTTGTTGCTGGTTGGGTTGAATGGGGCAGCTGTCGGCTGGTGACTTGTTGCTTTTCCTGGGTTCTTCAGAGCTTGCAGTAGGTTATTGGGAAACAATCAGGACTCGACAGAGAAGCAGGAACGGAAAAAGCCTTCTGACTTGAGGTAGGGGCCATGTATCTAACAGCTATCAATGCCAGTTCATTCATGTGATTGCTACTGCCATTACTCTTAAAATGAGCCATGTGAAGCCACCAGTCTTGTGTGACTAGAGAAACCCGTAGCTTCCCTCACGTTAATTACCATATGGGGGGTTGGTGGGTCGGGAGGCAACACAATCAAAAGGAACTAAAATAGGTCCAATGGTGTCTGGTATCATAAAACTGCATTGTTTGCGAATTATCTCACTGAAGAGATTGTCAAAGAACTCAAAGGAAAGGCGGATATTGAACTGTCAGCACTTCCAATGACAACCATATCATCGCTGGCAGCAAAGTTGATGGGTATGAGGCCCTTGCCAGGGAAGATCTGAGAGACCACTGCTTATTCGTCATTCTTTCCATAATCTTGATAGCTGGCTGATCAGGACCGAAAAACTAACCGATCCAGGCCCCGGTTGAGTCACCGGAGTGCATGTTCCAAAGTTGTCCTTGCGCGGTGTATGCCCATACGTATGACTTCGAAGCAGCAACAAGCTGTACGGTTTGTCCTCCGGGCTGCGTCAAGCGACGCTATGAAATAAGTCAGCACCATCACGCATCGAGATACATGGAACTCTGACAGTGTTGGAAAGAAACGGACAAGGACATGGAATTGCTTACCCATTGCGAAACACCCGGTGGCCACAAGGTTTGAGAAAACACTACACCGTTTGCATCAAGTGCATAATTCATTGAAGCACACGTTACTAGCTGCATGATTGGAGTAGGCTTCTGTGGCCCCATATCTGCATGCCAGTTTTTCCACCAGTCACCGCTGGGAAAATGGGTCACCGCATAGTTCCCGTCAGTCAGGACTCCGAAGACAAACTGGTCACTTGAGCCACCAAAGGAGATGCTCGTCATCTCCCGTGGGGAGTCTGCAAATCCATGATTACCTTGGATCCAGGGCGAGCTGTGGTCGCTGAGAGGCCGGTGCCAGTACAAAGAAGGATTCGGTTTTTTGAGGCCGAACAAACGCCAGCCTGTATTATTGCCGGAAGTGTCGCCGACTGCAATCATATCAATTCCGCCTGTTGTAGCAGGATATGATTGCCACAGATTTGCAGCATTGCTGATGTCGATACTCCACGCATTGCTTTGAGAATCCAGGACGACGATGATGTTACCGGCAGTAGCTGTACCTCGATTGCGGGTGATAACATTGCGCGTGCCAGACATCTCACAATGAAAGATCAATTGAGAGAAACCAGTAAAGGAGAAAACAATGATTTGAATGGAAAGCTTTCTTCTGGTTAGAAAAGAAGAGAAAATTTAATATCTTTGAAATGAAGCAGATAGAAATAAAAAAGTTTCCAAGACATAAACGCCCCACACCAAATCGCTATTTATTGCCCGAGTATGAAAAGCCACTTTTATGTCATTAGAGTCTGTCAGCTTGAAGGAGAATCATTTGGACATCCTGCTTCGGCTCTTTCTCCCTCTTCTGGTTACAGTACTTATGCCATGTGTACTCTGTCCCTTATGTTTAGCGTCTGAATTCTGGTTCTCCCTTCTAGTAAGATTTCCCCATGACATGTCTGATCAGGAGGCGCTCTGAGTCTAAAGATATAGATCTTGCAGGCTGTTGGCCTGAAAACCAAGGGTGAACCTCTCTCCACACGTAGGCGCGCGCAAGCCGACCTATTTGGGTGGTAATCGTATAAATAACTGTAATAATCAGCCAATTATGAATGTCTAGACCTGAATTATATGCAAAATAGGGTATGATGGGTTATACAACTGTCTGTCGGGTAAAATTCCCCCTGAAATCAGCTACCGCCGCTCGGATACAAACAGACGTCAAAACTGCTGACTTTAATAGGTTAACTTCTGGTCTGTTGTACCTCGTGGACTTGATCGAAATCCTCTGCGATTAGACAGCGATTCAAGAGATGGATTTGTGGAGACTTAGGTATAAAGTCCCCTGGATTCTGGTAGAGTGAACGAGATCAGAGTTGTACAGAATTCTACGGCAATTGTCATACTAGCTCAAGCAGTATCCATTTTCCTCGACACTATTTATTAAGATTATAACCTACTGGACCAGGTTCAGGTTTATGCAGCTTATGACACAGACTCTGAGAGTTGAAAAGGACGTTCTGGCTTGTACGGCATTTTATACAGAATCTTAGGCAAAGGGACGGTCTCATTGAAGTTCAGAGGTTTAATGACGGTAGAGAATCCTGATAGTCCATCCTGGATTCAGAGGGTAGAACATAGTGTAGGSAGTCGATACTGGAAATTTTGAGTTGTGAAACAGTCATGAGGTATGGTTATATTTTAGAAGCCTCACAATATATTAACATACAGCTTATCCCAAGACGCTTACTTGTTCCATGTTATACCATTTAAGGATATACACCTTCAGGAACCATTAATATCTGTCTGGTTCCTTACAAGACTTGACAATTTGGCTGTGGCTGGAATTCTCCTCGCCCTGTCATAAAACCCTAATATTGATGCCACAATCATCGCACCCTGAGTATGGAGAATTATCAGGTTTTATAGGTCCTACAATGTCAACGCTTTCCCCACTGATCGGATAGGCCATGCTTTCAGACTTCACTCAAGATCAGACACTATTATTTTTCAGTTTAATTAGAACCATGAGGAAAATAACTCCTAGAATGGTTCCTTCTGCCATGTCTTCCAGTGGCCCAAAGCAGCTCAATTCCTACAAGTACCCTTCCTCTTTATATTCATGCCATAGTAATATTACTAGGAATATGTCCACAAACTATTAGGTAATTTGTATGGCAACCAATTTAGCTCCTGATCCTAGCTATTGGCACTACTACCTTAGAGTGCACAGATCCTTGTACCTACTACCTAAGCTCGTGGCCAGGGGCCGCCCCAACCCCACACCAAATCGCTTCAATGTCCGAGTGTTGAAAAGCCCTTCAAGTCACTGGATTCTGCTAGTTTGAAGGAAAATCATTGGGACGTTTTGCTTCGGCTCTTTAGCCCTCTTCTGGTTACAGTACTTATGTCGTGTGTACTATAGTCTTATGTTTAGGTTCAGAATTCTTGTTCTCCCTTCTAGGAACACTTTCCCATACCAAGTATAATTTGCAGGCGTTCTGGGGGATGACAAGAAAGGCCCCAGATTTCATAGATATAGACCTTGCAGAGGCCTGGAACCCTGTTGAACTGCCTCACTGTCATTAATGCCTATAATAATCTATTCTAGCATAGCCTGATAGTCATCCTGTATAATAATACTTATGCTGAATCAGCCAATTATGTATGTCAAGACATAAATTATGTGCAAATATGGGGTATGCGATGGGTTATGCAAGTATCTGTCGGGTAAAATATCCCCTGAAATCAGCCACCGCCGCTCGGATCATGAGATGTCAAACTGCTGACCTTCCAGAGGTTTATTTCTGGTCTGTTGGACCTCGGGAATTGTTCCTCGGGATCAGCTATCCAGCGAATTCAGTTTGTAAAGATGTGGGGTATAAAGTCCTCTGGATTCTGGTTGATTGCATGAGATCGGGGTTGTGCAGAATTCTATGGCAATTGACATGCTAGCTTAAACAGTATATATTCTTCGTGACATTATCCATTATACATTTGTAACTGCTGGGTCGGGTTCGGGTTCAGGTTGCAAATCATAACTTGCATGCGGGTCATGAAGCAGACTGTACAAGATATACTCACAAGCCTACAGCATTACCTGGAGGTCTTTCTCCTTGTTGTTATCTGATGACCTTGTGAGCACAAACTGCCGGGTCTGCATTGACGTAATCATAATGGCTACTGATCCGCGTACCCTTCTTCATGTCGTGTACGCAGGACGCGGCGATGCCCTCATACTTGAGTACACAACAGAACCCGGTGGGCAGCGGCGCTTTGTCTTGGTCGACGGGGGTCCTCGGACAGCTGGCCCGCCGACTTACACACCGAAACCCTACTACAAATATCTCTTCCACGCCCTAAAGGATGTTTGGAGCAAGCGAAATTCCGGCGAGATTATCGACGTGGACGCCATGTTCTGCTCTCATCCGCACGAAGATCATATTGACGGGCTGATCCAGCTTCTGGATAGTATGAATGATGAAGCCAGTCTTTTGATGTTCAACGGGCCGTTCGTGCTTCCCAACGTGACCACAAGTAAGACGGAGGAGTTGGACGACGTTTTCAAGAAGGTATCCTTCGTTCGGATGGACCAGGGCTGGACCGATACCACAGTCCCGGGAATCGGCGTTGACTATCCTGACCGCAAAGAGCTATTGGTGTATGAACGGGGGAAGAGGTTGCCCGGCATCATTGACAAGGATCGTGTCAATCTTTCAAGTATTTTGATGTCGACGGATCCAGACGCCACAAGAGGCGCGGGGCGAGGTACGATATCCCCCATTTATTTGGTTCTCTCAGAATTGTTTCAGGAGCTTTTCGCCTCTGCTCTTAAGGCTTGCCTGTCTATTCACTGCAGCATCCGATAACTCTACAAAGATATATAAGAGGTAGTCGCTGACTTGGGATGCTGTAGTCTACTTCACGGGCGACAATGTCGGTCATATTATCGAGCGATATGTTGGACCTCCTCCCACTGGCACACCTTTGCAAACTTTTTCCATCTACAAGATTCAACACCACGGCAGCAAGAATAACTCAGAAATCCATGCAGTGTCAAGAGATGTCGGGACAGAGGTTGAGCGCGAGGGTGCTGTTTTGTACATCCTCACCCATTACGTTGCCGTCATGGAAGGGACATCAAGCACTGCATCACTGCGAAAGTTCATACCTCCGGATTCGCTACTGTGCCTCGGAGACTATATGAAAACACAACTCGGGACCCTGGCAGACGTCAAAAAATACCTCGGAGTGCTCGTCAGCCGCCAAGATCGCTACAAGGCTAGTATCATGGCCCAGTCTGTGCCGGCCACCTTAAGCCCTGATCACGGAGGTCCCTTTCCAGCAGACATGAAAATAACACCAAATAAGCTGATGCTCAAGGCCACATCTTACTTTAACCGTCTCTCTGATTCCGACGGAAGATTTGATCTTTTCTACGACGTCACAGCACCCCACCGAAGGCAGGAGCCCTGGTGGGTCAGTTGGCAGGAGCCCGAGGACTTTTGCCCTGAGTTTTACATCCTCCTTCCCATACCCGGTATTCGGCAATTCTACAGCTCCTTTCAAGCCGACTGCTACGTTATTAGTGCCAATGAAACCTATCGGCACCCGTCAGCAGCTACGCTGATTGGATTGGGCATGGCAGTCATGGACCAGCATCGGATGGACCAGCGTCGAGCGGCCCGAGTTTACTTGACAGAGGGCCAGACAGTCGACTCGTCGGACATTGTTGATCTCTGCGTGGCTGCAACAGGCGGTATCACGGCGAATCAATTGTTCGACCAAAAATTGCTTAGTATCTGGTACAGGAGTTCTGGATACTACTTTACGCTGGACGGCAGTGGATCACCACCTGCTAGTAAAGATCGTGAGATCACAAAACGCACAACACAGCTCAGCTTTCCAACCGACACGCTCACAAGAGGCAGTCTCCAGAACCAGCTGGAAGAGGACACGACAGTCCTGCCGCTGCGGACAACCATTTCAAATGCCAGCGAGGTTAGGTACACCGTCTACTGTCCCGTTGGCGCGACGAACTGGTATCTCGACCTTCTGTCCGGACAGCCTCAAGTCTCGAGCACGGTGAATGCCGTCACGTACGTCTATGACTCCACAGATCGATGGCCTGACCCGGCACCTGGCGCGAATAGCTCCACCGTTTATATCGTGCAGACCACGACCGGTCCGTCGGCTGCCTCTTTTCCTTGGAAGTTTCAGGTCGGGAGCAGATCCGGCCGACTCCAGGACAACAATCTCGCTTGGCAGCTAATATGGGAACGCCCAGTGACTGGGGGTTCTGGATCTGAGAAGGCTGCATTTTACGTCGACAAAACCACCAATGCTGTTGGCTCGCGCACATACCAAGACCCTCCGCCTATGGGTTTTGATGCCATTCGATTCCATTTCACGATCGTCTCTCCCGTCGGGGTCAGTCCAAAGTTAAGAATGCAGCCTCATGGGGCTGCTTTGCCTACGCTGAAGGATTACTACACCGCCATCGGCCTCTTGATGCCACCAACGATCTCATGTGGAGATGCTCTTCGAGCTCTACTGGGGGCCAGTATCCTGGGGCAGCTTGATCTCAGCCTAAACTTCGAGATTGCGGTTCTTGGCTGGTCGGTGGATCCGCAGAAGTCCAGTGTTGATTTCGACGATGAAAAGATTTCAACGACGGTGCACGCCGTTGGTCTGGGCTTCTCGCTTCCGCCAGGCACAACCATTCCGTTCGATAATGTCCATCTCAAGGTGCTCTCGGTGATGCTGACAATCGATTGGCCCGATGATACCACCAATCCAGGGACTCCGCTGAAGCTGGATCTGGTTGTTGACGCAGAGCGATCCGTCAGACTTTCATGCAACCCAAGGCTCAACAACGTTGACCGGGTGACGACCATGAGGGAGTGCCTCCTCGGCATGGGGGTCACGGCCGACGAATTGAGCACATTAAGAGTACCAAAGCTGTTGGGCTTTCTCATCAACAACCCTAACACCGTTGTCGAAGCCCTCCTCAATGCTATTCCATCTTTCCTTGTGAATGCCGGGCTTCCTCTTCTGAAACCGGACCTGGACAACAGCACTGTGGATGCGTTCTGGGATCCCCTGGGCAAGATCATCATTCGTCGTGCCGATATCATCTGCCAGGTGGCTGGGGTTTCCGGATGGGCCTCGCAAAGTATTGCCGGCATCGCACTCACAATGGGAGACATCACCATCACGGCCACCGATATTCTTACCCCCAATCAGCAACTGTCCTTCACCGGGTCGGCCAGTTTTACTCATGTTGCTGACACGGAAGGGATCACGCTTGGCTTCTCATGTGTGTTGGGCTCCGATGCGAGCGACCTCGTCTTCTCCATCTCCGGCACAGAGGCCGTTTCTGCTCTCCCTACTCTCCTCCCAGGCGTTCCGAATTTGACCCAGTTGAAGACGCCTTTCAGCGCCTCCAGTCTCGGTCAGATGACATCCTCAATGATCGGTTTCTCGATCAAGCAACCCGTCAATAGTATTCCAACTTATGATCTGGCAAGCCTCTTCGTGGTGGTTAGCCTTGATGATTGGAAAGCATTCCTGCCCTCGTCCTTTCCCATTGGCGGTATCGACAACGACAGTGTCATAATTCGCGTCCTGGTCATGGAACCGCGCAACGTAGACACCATGCTCGTGGCGGTAAACATCGACTGTGCTATACACCTCAGCAGTCCGCTGCCTCCTGTGCTCAACGTCAAGTTTGCCGCCGATCCGTTGGTCACCGCTGGAGCATACGAATTTCGGCTTACTGTGGGAGCTCCACCCATCACAGACCTAGGAGCCACAACTGGGTTGACGTTGGCGAATGTGTGCCAGGCGATCGGGATGGCTGATGTCTCCTCTGGTATCGGAAATTCAATCCCTGTACTCGGCCAGGTCCTCACCGCGATCCAAGTGGTCGAGCTATCAGTGGCGGTTTTGCAGCAGACGAGCGCTTCAACCACCAAGTACACCTTTGGTGATTGGAGACTTAGCCTCTATGTTGACAGCTTCGTCATCGTCCCGAAGGTTCTGACGATATCGCAGGCGAGCATGGACATGCACAACATCAATGGCCTCTTCTCGTGTGAGGTGAATGGGTCGGTGGTGCTTACATCGGCCAATGCGGCGACGCAAGTAGACGTTGTCTTCAAGCCGCCGACGCAGGGCGCCGCAGGTTCGTATTTGACACAGACTTGCTGAATTCAAAGGTATTGACCAGTGTCTAGGCCAAATTCGCATTGACGCACCCAGGGGTCTGTCGATTGCAAACATCATGGATGCTTTCGGCCTTCCTGACTTGACCTCGGTTCCCGTCGTTGGCACCATCATCAGCGTTGCCGTTAATTCGGTGCACTGCACTCTTGGGTATCCTGAGAACGCCACGGACATTGCTTGCCTCGGGGCGACGATTGAGCTGCGCTTCGACAGCCTGGATCCTGGGATCCTCAGTCTCGCGGCCCTCACGCTTTCTGTCGAATACCATGAACCCAACGATCCTCTTGGCCCGGGTTACGAGCAAAAGGCTTTCTCCGTCCGTGCGCTTCTGGCTGATGGGACATCTGCTGCGACGGTGTCCTATGATAGCCACGCTGGCACCTTGTCTGCGACTCTGGTTCAGGTTCAGACGGTCAGTGTGACACAGCTGCTGCAAAAGATACTTCCCTCAATGGTCGCCAATGTATTGTCTGGGTTGATAGGTAACATGAAGTTCGACCACGTTGATCTTGTGCTTGATACTGCAAACGAGAATATCAAGTCCTTCAGCATTGCCCTGACTAGCGACGAGACTCTAGCCGTTGGAAATCTGACCCTTACATCACTGAACGTCGTCTACGCAGCTGCGACTACTGGTTCCCCAGCTACACCTGCTACACTAGTTGTCCAAGGTGTTTTTCAAAAGGACACAGTGGGAGCTGTTATCTCCATCTCCTGCACCTCGAACGATGCAGCGTCCCCTCCCGTCAATTCGGCAGTTAACGTCGCCTTCTCGGTCACTGCGTTGACACCGACTAGCCTGCCACTATCTGGCTTTATCGGACTTCTCGGAATACCGCTCCCAACCTACACGCCTCCAGTAGGGTGTCCCACGTTCGATGGCCTACAAGTGACAGACATCAGCGGGGAAATCTCCGTGACGACTGTGTCAACCTCGTCGACGGTAACAGGGACGAGCCTCGAGATTGTCAGTCTGAATGCCAGCGTGGTTACGCTTCCAGGCAGCGGCATTGGCATACTTCCTACCCTCGGGATTCAGCTTACCCAGATGAGGTTGAACATCTCATATGCAAACAAACTAACATCTGGCAGCATCAGCGGCTATCTCCCTATTAGCGGAATTGGTGGTATATGGGTGCTGTTTGCGATACAAGGTGGGCAAGAGCTGTATGCCGCAGATCTCAACCTGGGTTCGCAACAACAGATGGACGCCACGGACATCTACCACACCTTCTTGAACGTCGACGAGTGGACAATACCCGCTGATCTGAACATACCCTCTGCCCTACCCTTGGTAGATCTTCATGCAAGGGTTATCCGCGGTGTGTCTATTGACGTTTGGGGCTTTGGCACGACAGGACCCGCCGGATGGGAAGTTGCTGCCTCTGGAGTGAAGCTGACCACGGCCTCCCTTGGTGGCAGGATACGCATACTGGAACCTCCGAAACCGACGGCACCCGGCGTTTCTTTGGCTTCAACTGTCCCCGCCCCAAAACAGAGAGAGTATTATGTGTACATCATTGGTACAGCATCCTTCACCGGCTTCAGTGGGGCTAATGCGGCCGAGGCAAGGCTAAACATTAAACCTGATGACGGCGTCACCTTCACTGCCGGTGTCAACAAGACAGCCACCGGATCGGACCTCAATACACTCTCTCAAGAGCTGGATGCCAGTCCAGACTCAAACTGGAGCAGTATTATTCCGAAGACCACAACCAGCATATCACTCGACCAAGACGGGATATATGTCTATGCCAACCTCACCAAGGGCAAGACCACCTTTGCACTTTACGGGAGTGTGACAGGGATTGGATCTTTACTGCTCCTCGGGAGACCTAACATGACACCAGGAAGCACCGGACGGTCGTATTTCGTCTCACTTGTCATCCAAGACCTCGGTGCTATATGGCCTAGCTTTTCAAACATCATGGGACTTTTCGACTTCAGCATGTTGACGGCCGAAATAATGGCGTATGACGGAACTGTGGACGACATGTATACAGACCTCAAGAATCTACCCATCGATTTCGCCGCTAGCGATGTGGTTGTGCCCGATGCATCGACAGTCATAGCGCCGATGTTGGCCGAGTATGGCGGGACAAAGCTCGGTAACGCCGCCCTCTTCTCCGGAACGCTGAGTCTTACGGGCAGGTCTCCAAAGCCAATGACAGGTGGCTTTGCCATGGCTTCGGATCCGTCTTCGACGGGAACGGTTACCCTCTGGGCCCATGTACCGGAAAACCCTAGTACTGGGGTCTTTGGAATGATCATGAAAGATGTCGCATTACTGGGCGGTGCGATCGTCGTCAACGGCTTTGGGCAGTACACTGAGAAGCGGCTCACTATCAGTGCCGCAAGCCTCGTCCTGAAGATTCCTGGCATGGCAGACACGCTGGACTTCCAGGTGGAGCTGACCGTCACTCCTGAAGAGACTAACTTCAATGTCTCGACCTCCAAGCTGACCCTCCCCAGCCCGTTTGGTGATATGTTCAGTGTCACTTTCCAGACACTTGGAATTGCTGGAAACATTGTTCAAGTGAAAGGAAAGACTGTGCCGACTTACACCCTTTCGACGACCTCGGTCTTGTTGGGAGGTAAGCCTACTGGTCTGGGTGGGAGCATCATCTTCCCGGGAGGCAAACCTCAAATCGCTGTTCTCGACGCCATGAACATGAACATTCTCGACATCTTCACAAAGATCATCCAGTACAGTCCGGTGACGGGGTCGACGCCAGGCTCCTGGCCAGTATTGTACAACCCCTTCACGGTGAAGAACGCAGTGATTTATTACAACAGTGGCGCCGCATACGCTTCAAAGGCCGTGACGTACCAACCAAGCTATAACGTCCACGCAGAACTGTCGATGTTTGGGGTGGAATTCTCTCTCGACATCAACATTCCCAGCCGAGCTGGTATCAAGGTGACCGGTACCTACATCGGGACTATTGACTTGAAATTTGTGCAGCTGGGACCATATCCGCCCAGCTCTCCGACAACTAAAGGGCCGACTTTGACCATCGACACAACGGCAAAAGCTGTAAGTCCAAGGAGACGAGAAGACCTCAGGCATAGAAGCTGACTGGAGTATGTAGACGTTGTACCAGTATGAATCCGCCGTATCGTTCTTCGGGCTCGAAGGGCTAGGTATCACCCTGCAATACACCAAGGACGGCCAAGAGGATCTGTACTCAGGGGATCTCAAGTACGATAGAACCATTCTCGGGGTCGCCAACCCAAGCATATCCGTTTCCTACAACAGCACGACGGACCAGTGGTCTTTTGGACCCTGGGATATCATACAGGACATCAGTAATGCCGTCGATATCATCAAGGAGATCCTCAAGCAGTCCGAAACCCAATCTTGTGGCTCGCTAGTGGGCTTAGCCCTTGACAACGTGACAATCAAGGTCAGCCCCAAGCTCACGCTCACGAGTGGGACCGACACAAGCCGCACTGCGCTGGCAGGGACGCCATACCTGAAGATCTCCTTCGATGTCACCTTCTCCCTGACCGTTGCGAAGAAGGAGATTTTTTCAATTCCACTTCCAAACGATCACCTCATACCTCCACAGAAGATGAGAGTGGCTGACTTCAACACAACGTCCCTGGAGAGCTTTGTCCTCAGTGTCTTTGTACAGTTTGCAAAGAACTTGGCTTTTGCCGTGCTGGAGAACCCTTCTGCGCTCGGAGCTCTGATAGCGCAAATGGTAATTTCCGAGTTTGGCGAGGAGCTCGTTACGAACCTACTCTGCCGCGGATGCGATAATCCAGACCTGGAGACAACGGCCAAGAACTGGGCCGACAAGAATCACTCTGACGGGGAAGACAGTGGAGGGCAGTCCCAGGATAAGTTCGACGGAGTAGCGAGTGCCGAAGCCATTGATGCTGCTGCCGACTTATTCGCAGCGGGATCGGCGCTACTCGCGACTACCCTAGGTATCCTTGGAACGCTCGCGGCACTAATTGACAAGATTGCCAAGATATTTGGCATCGACGCTGGGCTGGAACAAAAGTTGTCTGACCTTCAGAATAAGGTTGACAAGCTCCAGGCCGAAAAATCAGCGGCTAATGCCCTTCTCAACAAGGCTCTAGATATGGGTGGAATTCCCAACCTGAAATGGGCCTCGGTGACAAGGCTCGAGGATGCCGCACCCCAGACGAGCGTTGCCATTGACTGGAGTAAGGCAGTCCCGAATAGCAAGGCCGCGAGTTGGTACAAGGGCTTCAATGGCTTTCAGTGGATCGTTTCCGCCAACACGACCGGAGGCATCAGCGATCCAGGGGTGACTTACACGGAGACGGATTCTACGAAGCGGGCAACCACGCTCCAAGATGCTGAGTTTGCATACTCATCGACCGTCTATGTCTGGGCCACCGCTCGGTACGGCGATTTCCACTCTGATACTACGCCGCCAGCGGCGACTATCACCCACATTCCATACCTTCGGCCACCGACGCTCACCTTGACCTCCACGGCAACTGGTCTGACAGTGCAGTTTTCGGGGCAGGTTAACCCTCCGGCCCAGGAGTCATACATGCTACAGATTGCAGGGACCGATGTTGCTTCGAGGAGTTTGATCCTTTTTGAGCAGACCTTGCCCAAGTCGCCCTCGGACGGCGTTAATATCCGTTGGGACCAGCTTACGCCGACATCGCCGATGCCAGCTTCGATCACGGCGTACATCCAAGCAGTCTCTAGCGATTCTTCAAAGGCGCATGACTCGATCTTCGTCGCTTCTAGCACCTCTTTCAACCTGCTTGCCCCGCCCACAGGCCTCACCGTCAAGCCAGACGAGAATGACACCAACATCACTGTGTCCTGGAACCAACCGGGCGCCATGCCCACTGCGCCGGACTACGACCTGGAGGTCCGAGACCGGAACAATGTCCTCATCGAGCCTGTCACCATAACACCCGGGACCTCACCGGACGGGAAGCGCTCCACTCAGATCTCCTCAATCAAGTTCACAGCCGGGGAATCTATCGCCGTCGCTGTACGCGCCCACGTGCCCAGCACAGCACCCCAAGGCACGATCAGCATCTTCACCCTCCCCGTGACGAGCGTCATCCAGCCCTCCGCAATCCCCGTCATTGACTCCAGCAACACATATTGGGACATCCCCTCCAAGACCCTCCATCTCGTCGTCGGCTTCGCGGCCGATATTCTGTCATCGAGCACGTTCCAAGTGCGGCCGGATGACCTCACTCGCCCGCCTCTCACGGTCTCCTCATCGACGATAACCAAGAGGAGCGCGTCACTGGTGGTGACGGAGGTGCCCAGCAACCCGTGGCCAAAGGCAATCCTCGTTGCGGCAACTGTTTCTGCAGGCGAAACCGGTCCCTACAGTGCGCCTTGGACTTTTCCCGCCGCAGCGGCGGGTGGTATAGCGGCTCCATACCCTGCGGTACAGTTCTCGTCTATTGGGCCACCAACGATGACTGTGTATTGGGACCTCGTTCCAAACGCGCAGTGGACTACGTTGTCACTCATCTACCAGGCTCCCGGTCCTATCTGGCCTCCCCACATTGTCACGCAAAGGGTCGATTCTCCCAAGAGTGCATATACGTTTGCCTTGAAGGCTCTTTTTGATGAATCGAAGGGGGCGCAGACAGGATCGAGCGGGTCTATGACGGTGGCGGAGGCGGCCCCGTGGGGCTGGAGGTTCTCTCTGAGCATGGAGAGCTGCGCGAATGGTATCCGGGGAGGTGGCGTAATGTTATGGAGGCCAGGTCCATAACAAAGTGGATTTGTGTATCACTACCTGGGAACACTTGGCTTTGGAACGTTTGTCCAGAAGACATGGAATGTGCTGCTGTGAAGAACGCCATCGAATGCTCTTTGATTTCCTCCACTGTTGCTGGAAACTTGTGCTTCTACTCGGGTTGCGGTGCCTTTAGTTGCGCCAAGGCTGCCCTGTCATTGTAGCTGAGATATGCTATCACTGAATTCATCTTTCCTAGTCTGACGGCAGTGTGAAGCAAATTCTGAATGATATGTCGGGTCGATGGTGGTTCGAGAAGTAGGGAGCGGCTGAACAGGCTCAGTCTAAATATATTTAGGGTCACACTACGGACACCATACCCAGTCTTATTAGCACCATATCAAATCTTATATAGCTTAAATATAGCTAAGTAGATAGAAAGCCCTATTTTCCACACCCTATAGTTATATATATTAGTTTTGTAGACTAAAGCATATATAGTAAAGCAGATAAGGATGTAGACCTAAATCAATTTGAATGCTTAGAGGTACTCATCTCAGCCTTTATAGTTCTAAGGATCCATGGCTCTTGGTGTCTTGCATGTAATGAATGGTTGAGCCTGGAGTCTCAATGGTATATTCTACATGGATGTGGGTACAGAATGGTTCCTTTTGCAGATAATATGCGTCCTAATATACATAACATTAACAATGGTTAACCCTACTCCCGCTGAACAGCAATATCCATCAACCATGACAAAGAATTGACACATACAAGTCGGAAGAAAGGCTATAGACAAAGTCAAGAGAGGAGATTCGCCATTCCAATACCTACACATCAATTCTTCAAATCCTTCAAATACTTGACCCCCGAATCGACCATCCACCACGCCGTCAACTCATGCAACCACTTGCCCACCGCAGTCTCCAACAGCATCACCCCCTTCTCCCCCTTGGGCTTCCACATCAAGGTCTCATTCATGAAGACCATCTGATCGTCTTTTTCCGTAATCGTAATCGCCAAGCGAGCCCGAACAGCCCCCAACGGCTTAAGCTCAAACTCGACTTTCCCCGGCGTCCGCAGAATGACCCGGTAAGCGCCGCAGACGAGATCCCCCTCCTTGAAATCCAGACGCTGGGGCCAGTAATTGTCAATGGCCGCAAAATTAAGAGTTTCAAGTTTGGGGGAACATCAGAAATATCGTGGAACAGTCAGTCAAAGGGAAGCTGGAAAAATATGTCGGAACGTGACCCCGAGAGATAAAACCACAAAGTTGCACCGACTTGCCAATCGAGCTGACGGCGCCTGGATTCATACGCCAACTATTGGCCACTTAAGGTGTATCCCCACTTACTCAACATTGCTCAACATTGCTCAACTGCGCTTAATTTTGTCAATTTTATTATAACCACCATAAGGATGATGCTCTAGAACCTTAATGGCGGCCCGGAAAAGAGCTCAACTACGTTGAACTACTGCGACCCACCCGAATCCGCCAGCTAATCAAGTCAGGTTTGGTCGCAAAATCTTGCGCATGCAAAATATTGGAGAGCATCACAGGGGTTGCTTTGTCCTGCATTATCCACTGGATACTGATGAACGGACCACTCATGGACACAAACCAGCACCACAGGGTCTGAAATTTCTTATCCCAAGAGCTCAGCAGTTTCCTATCATTGAACGCCAAATACAAGCTACAAATGATCAATTTCCGCATCACGTATATGTGGTATGCCACCAAATCGTATCTGTGAACTTGCTCAGAGATACGGTAATGGCTTGGGAGATCTATCCTCATAGCAGACTTTTGGTTTCACCAAAGTAGAGTACAGCAAAGTGCAAAACCAGCTTCACCATTTCACTCCCTGCTCTTAATTCTGGGGGCCCACCGCCAAGACACTAGCTTGAGAAATGGGTTCATTTAAATGTACCTTTGTACATTACGTCACGAGCATTCTGTCTCACATGGCCATAGATTGTTGTTGCTTGGAAAGGAAGGCAAAAACATCAACCCATATTCTGCACTCTCTGCCAGAACCTGAGAACAAAATATCTTTAATCTTCCGCCCCTAATCGCATGTTTGAGTACCAGTCTGTCAGCTTATAGTGAAATGGATGAGAAAAGAAGATGATGATATGATGGCTCCTAGCTAGAGAGAAACAGGAGAAGGAAGCTATCTGAACCCTACGCAGATGCCCTACGGATGAACGTAGGCCCGGCTGTGCCTAAGGCAGCGCCTCCAACAGCTTATAATGAAATTTGCCTTCGTGAGTGTTTCCCCAGTGAATATATGGATACGTTCCGGTCGCTCCAATATAGAAGCAATAATTGCTGCAACAGCTGCCCCGGTTGAGAATCCTATTATCCCGGTGAAGGGCCCATACCGATCTAGTATGTCTAAAATCTTCAGGATAGATATATCCAACCCTTTAATCAGTCCGTGCTCAAAATCACCAAAACCCCATGCCCAGACCTCCAGTTCCGCACAGCCGGGAGCAGGCCAGGCACCATCAATGTAGAATAGCTTAACATTGCTAGAAACACCCTGCCGGAGGGCAAGTTCTTGGAGAGGACTAACTAAATGTTTTGTTTTGTGATAGAAATTCTTGCTAGATTGCCCATGACCTATATCCACAAAGTCAGTAACAGGCAGTTAGTTATGCATGCAAGACGGGCCAAACAGGTACACACCATGAAGCATTAGTATCTTGGCCGTACCTTGATGTAACGTCTCATTCATGTCCTTCCGAGGCAGCCCGAACGGTTCAAAATAGAAGTGTGAATGTGCCATTTTGCCACTTCAGATGTACACATCAACAGAGCGTATCACAAGATCTTACTGAGACATCTTGACCATCTCCCTGCCCGTCTGTAATATATACTCTATTAAAGGAGGTAGCTCAACTACTTCTCGGAGGCGATCAGGACTACCCAGATATGTCTTGATTTTAAGCAGATCAGCAGTCCTAAGTCGCCTTTGGTACAGGATAGCGTGAAGGGTAACTCGATAGTCCCAGAAGATGGCAGCCCTGTGTCCCGTGGCCTCCCGTGTCTGAAAGCTTGCGACATATGGGAGGCATATGCGCACATTCAAAGCTTCCTCCGAGCAGAGAACGAGGACGAAGACAGCTGGTTCAAACTACGCCGTGCAAAATCTATATTATCTTGTCAACCGTACAATTGATAGTTCGAGGTGCTCAGCAGTGGTCGCCCAATCATAGGACAGTTGGAAGAAGCACAGAGCTACAAGCCAAGAACTTAGCCATCAGCTTGCGTATTGCCCGAGATCTCTCCGACCCTGTTGCGCGGTGAATGCCGTTCATCTTAGCTCACCACAATTTTTCAACTGCATACAAGAAGGCCTCCCGAGCCCGACGCGGTTACAGGTGTGTGTCATTGCATTGGTTAAATGGTTGAACAGGCTGAAGATAGATCAGCAACGAAGAGACGCTTCAGTATTTGATGTAATGACAGGGATTCATCAAGGAAGACTTTATCAATAAAGGTTTAATCACTCCACTTAATATAGCAAGCAAAATCACTCCGCACCAGAGCCTGTTAGTATCTAGTCAATTACAGAATAAGCCTAATAGCCGTGCACTCATCTTAAGAGATTTTAAAGCCACCTAATTCTGCTATGAGTGACCCCTGTAGCATCTCTCAAATGGCATTCACCTGTTAAGATATTCCTCTCACAGCATCAAAGCATCTCCCCAGTTGCAACAGAGACAGACCCATCAATCCCTATGACGCATCTCCATCACGCCATACAGGTTGTACTTATTATAGGTATAATTTTGAGCGCAACCAGTTTGACAATACATTTATAGGCCAAGTATCAAGCATGTAAAGAGCTATATATTAAGAATAGTATATTTTCTCTGCTTAATACAGACCTTACCCCTAGGAGACACCATGGGGATACGCACTAAAGGGGCATTTATTCTAGTGTGCTTGTCAATAGCTTGGGTACTCAAGCATCAGACCGTGCGAGGTGACTAAAGCTGACTTACCGATAGGTTTTCTGCACTGCGACACAAACATTGATTCTCTGTACGTCGTGGAAGGGCAAAACCTTGGTTTTATGCACGCCGAGCTAAATAAAACAGATGCTCTTGATCATGCTGGGCTAGGAACTCACATATGGTACCTCACGGAAAATACTATAAACACATATGAAAAGGTATGATTTCCAATTTTCGATCAAGATTTTAAAACAATGTTAAAGAAGACCGACAAGCAGCTCTTTCTTGCAGCCGCATGTCTGTTTGTGACAGGCCTATGTCTGGCTAGGCTCAGCCACTTGATCTTCTTGAACTGTCTAATGGCAGCAAGAAATGGCTCCGCCACGCGCTGTTGGGGGCAACCGCTTTCACCATTGTTGGGACATGCATGATAGTGTGCTGCTTTGTTTTTGCTTGCCAGCCGATCTCAAAGTCATGGAACATTTCTCTGGCGGGCAAATGCATTGATTGGACAGCCGTATTCATAGCGGTGGCAGCTCAAAATATAGTGTTGGATATTCTTCTGATTGCGTTACCTGCCCTGATTATCTATGAATTGCACCTTCCTTGGGCTCAGAAGTTCAGGTTTGCTATTCTTCTGGTCCTCATCTGTGTGTGAGTCCTCTTAAAACACACCTTAAACTAGGTGGCCCTATTCTTATAATAGGCAGCACATTCATGGTGAGCGCCATTTAGCTCTGAGTGACTGTGCCCATACTTAGATCTACTAACTTGACATACAGCATTACACCTGTTACTTTGCTAGTGTAAGTATATATAAGATCTTTTAACTATAAAGTACCTATTTATACTTACTATTATGTTACAGAGGGATTAAATATAATTTAATTATTCTTGCTGCTAGCCTTCCAGCATTAAGGCAATGTTCCCATTTACTTAGATTTAGTCTTAGATCATCCTCTAACTGGCCCGCCATTACTTATACTCTAAGGAATTACAATAGAGTAGTTCTAGCTGGAAAACCATGCCGCCCTCCACAGTCTAGTGGAATTCCATGTTGAAGTTTACCAGCGCGTCTCAGTTTAGGCCTAGAGGAGCCCATACCCTTCATTAGCCATGGATGATGGCATTCCTGTTTGGCGCCCTATTAAAGAGGCACCTTAGACTGTGCTGGAACTTGCCTATCACTATTCCAACAACTAATGTATCTATCGTGTATGCGCCTACAGGAGGGCAGCCATATGTGCAGGGACTTAGCATACCCAGCCTACATTGATCCCGCTCGGAACCTCCCCGTCCCCGGGGGTCCGCAGAGGCTAGGCAAGTGAGCAGGATACCTGTTCTGAATAGCCGGTCTGTCATATAACCAGCCAGCTTTACCTTCTTCCCCAATCTTTACTATACTTGATTACTACAATGTCTCAAATACCTATCGAAGTCCACTTTAAGATGCTGGATCACCTCCTTTTAGATAAGCAACCATTATTGCATTCAACTCTTTGCACAGTTCGGAGATATGGGCTCTCAAGCGCAGATCACGCCAGAGTCATGACTGCATATTCCCGACATAAAAACCGCTGCCAGGACATACTGAACCGATGTCAAATATGGCGGGGCAGTGGGTATGCCAAACTCCATGCACAGATGCCTACTGCGCCTCTGGGGACAGGGCCAGAACCTGATGTGCTGACTGGGGTGATCTATAGTAATTGCCGCGGCTGCTTTCATCTCCTTCGCAATTTGGTCAGCTTCCCATTTTCTAGTTTCAGTGATTTCGGATATTCGTTCCTAGGGATAGCCCTAAGTTTCGCTGCTTTCGCACTATCCGTGTCAGGCACACCCACACCGTAATCGTCATGTACCTTTTATATGGCATTACCATATAAAAGGTACATATAGATTATTTAATCTAGGTATGTAGAGAGGTACACATTTAGTTTTTAAAGTAGATTATTAATTAGATATATAAATGTCTATCTTTTATTACTATCTTTATTATTAGAAAGGAAAATTATAAGTGGTAAGATAAAATAATCTGTCTGTATCCTTTTCCCTAAGGAAGAGTTTTGTAAGGGAAATTTTATATATTCTTATATCTCTAATTTTTTTTTAGTAAAACTCCTAAAAGACTTTTAATTATAAGATGTTTCCTTTAAAGATTTTAATATAACTATCTAAAAATATAGTCGCCCCTAGTAAATAGTATAGATATTAGACTTAGGGAATATGTACCTTTTATATGGTGATGCCATATAAAAGGTACATGATGATTACGCTGTGGCACACCCACACCGGGGACCGGTGTGGGTGTGCTGCTAAGACACGGATACCATTGGATATGAAGAATCTGATCTGTAAAACTGCGCAAAGCTAACTTAATCCTAGGACGTTGCATGTCTTGCGTGATGATATGGCACTGCTGACCCAAAGCGTTGCCTTTTAGGGTTAGTCTTGCGCATATCTTACTCTGGCTGGACAGTATCTGTTTATCTCCTGTGTCTGCTCGAGAGATGATATCTGCGTTGAACTTATTAAAAGGTAGAATTCTAATTCAGTGGCTAGAAAAGAAATAGTGTGGTGTGTCTCTGATGATGGAGCATGACCGACCCAGCGTCATTTCGAATTTTACACCCGCTCGGTCACATATCTCCTTGACAGGCACAAATGGCTGCTTGAGTGATTCGGGAATCGGGTCCTGACGTGGATTGCTGAACCAGTTCTGCCCTTCAGGTACGTCTTCAGATACCCCGGAAGAGATAGAGATCCGTGCTAGGTTAGCGAACCTCTCCTTTTGATGAGCAAGGACTCCTTGCAGATTCGGCACAAGCACCGCGCAGTGTTTTGGCCAGCATTCGGCTACATGTAGCGACCTCAAGCTGGCAGGTAGAATGTCCCTGAGCACGACGGATTCGTCTTTATCGCGGTCATGGTAGTTGAGAAGGTTCTCGACGCGGATGCGAAGATCTTGCAGGTGACTGAATTCCGCCAGTGATCCAAACCACCGGTCATATGCCTTGGGGCCGTCATTCCCCTCGTCGTCGCTCAGTTCATCTGTCCCAGGCCCAGACACCTTGCCATTGTCGCTCAGGTGGAGGACCTCGAGGCTGTGCTTCTGCGTCAGCAGCGCCTTGTAGAACTTCCGGGGTTGAAAGTCGACGTATGACTCCCACCAGATCTCCGTGTCGGCATGCTGGTATTTGAATTGTTTGAGATTGGCGCAGGAGGTGATAATCTCCGCCATTCCATTTCTCCCATTACAGTGAGTTTCCAGAATAAGCGATTCCACGGGCGCCGTGCCGGACGCGGAAGACACAGCCGGGTGGTCCAGTCTGTTCCGTGATCTGTTTTGCTTCACGCCGTTCAAGTTCACATCCCTAAGCAATGGCAGATGGAAGAATGGCAAGAACTGCCAGTCCGGATAGATACCCTTCGCATCGTTAGTGGTGATATGAAGCGTCTCCAAACGCTGCAGGGCCGGCCTGGTGTCAAACGGTGGTTCCTTGCGTGCCGCCCGCGCAACAACCAGAGTCACGCTCGGCGCGTGTAAACAATATCGCCCAGATAGCGTGGTGAGATTCGGCACCGAGACAAGAAGAAGAGCAAGCCATGCGTCCTGGTCTCCAGCTCGGAGATTCTCGATCCAGTCTTTCTGCTCCTCCGGCGATCTGCTGATTTGCCCTGCCAGCTCCTCCGCCGCTTCCATTTCCCTTTGTTGTGGGTCGTAATCGAACCATGTACGCCACTGTCCGACTGAAAGAATACGGATGGCTGCTCCTATCCGCGGGTTGGTCAGTATGACTTTCGTCAGGGGCTGGAACTGAGCCGCCTCGATATGGACATGGTTGTATGCGACCTCGAGGAACAGGGCTCGCCAACATTGGCATACTTGAAGCAATCGGAGTCTGTCATCTACGTCGGAGACATAACTACCGACGGCAAGGATGATCTCCACGGGAAGTGTGTCCATTTTCTGGCTCAGTCGTGCTGCGTATCGAACACGTCGGATTATCGTAGGAGATCTACGTGTCGCTCACCCGCTGTTAGCGTGTTTTGTTGCGGCCCAAGCTGTAGCACTGTGGAAGCACCAACAGCTATATTACATTTTTAGAATTGCTGTAGAAATTACCAGCTGCCTGTCCTCTATGGAATCTACTATTTATACACAGCGGCGCTTGTTGCTATACGAGTATATGGAGCAAGCAACAGATACATGGTCATCCCTAATCTCAGACAGGCGGCAGACAGTTTCAACCAAGGTAAGTAATCCTAAGAAGTCAGGCTGGATGACTGGTATTTTCTGCGATGAAGCTTTAAGAATTTGCGCAATGAGTTACAATATAGACAGACAGAGATTTCCCACTGACCAGATACTTCACATACGGTAGTTGGGGTGCAGGATTTACACCCCTCGAGCATTCCTAAGCAACAACCTTGTCTATGCAGAGCCAATGTAGGAATGTTTGAGAATGACCGAGATCGACTTCATACAACTGAATATTGGAATCTACGTCACTCACGACTGTTAAGCTTGAGCCTGGGAATACATCATAGACGGGATGAAGATGGGCGTGTAGGGCTATGGCGGCGTGAGAGGACTGCCGTGGAATTAAGGTAGGTTACATATACCTACTATCGTCGTGTCATTTAATATGTCATAGCCCTTGTTATTGGTTCCATGTGAATACTATCATATCCATAAGTGGAGCATTGATCTCGATAAGATCTTGTTCCGGATCCCAAGTGACGTTGTGTCGGGATATGGCTTAAATGATGTTTGACTCTGCAGGGGGGCGTGGTATTACTGTTACCATAACCATGGATACATATCCCTAGAAGACGTACATCGTCCGGAAACCTTTTCCGTCTAGCGGTATTGGATAGAAGCTCATAAGATGAAGAGACGCAGTAGACACTACCACAGAGATTAGGCTACCTCTGCTGATGAGTTTGAATAAGACATTGCCTCCTTCCGTTTGCAGCGATAGTTATTGGCGGCCCACCTCTATCTTCTCGCGTGTTCTGGAAAGATAAGAGGACGGCAGACCTCGAGGATCGTCGAAGGTACTGCGGCCGATTTGCCTGTGACAAGTGTCATTTAGCTTTTAACAGAAATGGCCAGCCATCTACGCCAAGTTAAGCAACATTTGCAGATATTCCTCTCGACCTTGGAAAACGGAGATGAAGTCAAAATCGACGGACATGGTTTGAGCATTGCTCATCTGGTTTCAGTGGCCAGGTAAGTGTTCCGGGAACGTTGAGACGTCGTGGGTGTGAAATATTGACTTTGCGTTCGAGGTACTCGACCGGAGTTTCCATTGATCAAACCGACGCCCTACGGAACCGTATGCAGGCCAGTGTTGATACTCTGCATTCTTATATCGATAAGGGGCACAGAATCTATGGTATTTAGTCCCTTGTTTTCCATTCCGGCCTCATTCTAATGCATCCTCAGGCGTAAATACTGGAGTCGGCGGGACCTCCTACACCGGGACGAACCAGCTCTCGACGCTCCAATACTCCGCTTTTCAGCACCAGCAGTGCGGGATCTTGCTGGAACCCTCCCAAAATGTCATGCCGGGGAGATACTCCGCCACAGGGCAATACAACCTTCCAGATGAGACCGTTCGGGGTATGGTCGTCGTGCGCTGCAATTCCATCCTTCGAGGGCATTCCGGCGTCAGGATGCACCTCGCCGACTTTCTGATGGAGGCGCTCGCACACGGCATTTTGCCATTGGTACCCCAACGTGGGAGCATCTCTGCGTCTGGTGATCTGAGCCCACTCTCCTATCTGGGCGGTTTACTCGAGGGCAATCCTGATATCCTGGTGAAGATGAAGGACGGCAAAGTCTTCCAGGTTGTCACTGCGGACGAGGCGCTAAGGCGCGTTAAGATGACTCCACTTCAGCTGGAGGGAAAAGAAGGATTAGGGTTGATGAATGGTACGGCTCCCAGTAGCAGCGCTGCTGCACTGGTTGTCCATGACAGCCATATTTTGGCGGTCTTGACACAGATCTTGACTGCCATGAGCACCCAGGCTCTCCAGGGAACAGTGAACAATTATCATGATTTCATATCGACATGTCGCCCGCATCCTGGTCAACGCGAGGTAGCACGCAATATGCGGGGATTCCTCCGCGGCTCGAAGCTCTGTTACGGGATGGAAGGGCTGACAGCGAACCTGGCGCAGGATCGCTACGATTTGCGCACCGCACCGCAGTGGATTGGGCCGCAGCTGGAGGACCTACTCGCAGCACAGAGCCAGGTCAGCATCGAGTTGAATTCCACGACGGATAACCCCCTCTTTGATGCACAAGAGAACGCCTGCCATCATGGAGGGAATTTTCAAGCCACAGCCATTACGTCCGCAATGGAGAAAACGCGGACGGCGCTGCTCATGCTGGGAAAACTGTTGCTCGCGCAGTCCCAACAGATGGTGGATCCGGTGCTTAACAACGGGCTGCCTCCTAATCTGTGTGTTGGGGCCCCCGGTCTTTCATTCACTGCCAAAGGGCTCGACATCAGCATGACCGCATATTGTTCGGAACTTGGCTTCTTGACAAACTCGGTGGTCAGCAATATCCATTCTGCCGAGTTGCGCAACCAGTCGGTCAACTCCTTGGCCCTTCTCTCCGCACGGTACACGGCGGAATGCGTGGACGTCCTGACCATGATGTGTGCAACACATCTCCATATCGTCTGCCAGGCATTAGACTTGCGGGCCATGCGAGAGGAGTTCTTCAAAGCCGCAAAGGCAGCATGCGAAACGTCCTTTCATGACCTCTTCAACCATATTGGAAATTCGAGGGAGTCGAAGTTTGACCGCATATGGTCTGCTATTCGGTCCTCGTGGTTAGAATGGAACCGTCTAGACTTACAGACACAATGTGCCCAGGTTTCCGGCCAGTGCCTGGGGTACATGGTGAGCATGGACGACATGGGATTTTCTCAGCCGGAATGCTGGGAGCCCATTCGACGCTGGAAAGACGTACTCCCTACTATTCTAAAGGACTGCCATCGTAAGACGCACGAGAACTTCAATCAGGCTAGGACGACCCCCCAATACCTGAGCGAGAGGACAGGTCGGGTTTACCGCTTTGTACGCGAACAGCTGCAGGTGCCATTTCACCAGGGCATCCAAGACCACCCCGCATTAGACCCCAACGATGCTGGAAAGGGGCCAAAACGAACAATTGGAACCTATGTCAGTCGTATCTACGCAGCAATTCGTAGTGAAGATATGGCGAGGCTGCTACTGGATGTCATGGAAGGTCTGGACTTGTGATATTTCTGCATTGGATGCTGTCTGCGGAACGTTGGTTATTCTACGCAGCTTGTTCTCTTTGTCTAAAATGGTGCTGTACTTACCCTGTAATGCCCTAATTCCCGCTACCCGAAAAATGTCAAGCATTCCTGATGATAGACACAATTCACATTCTACGCCTACTCGTTCAGGAAAATGGTGGATAGTGGTACATTCAGTCGATGTCACACAGATCGACCTCCATCTGGCTGTCATCGTCGATTCTAATAATCTATGACGATTATACAAGGCCTTCGTCCGCGCTGTGGAGATTTCCGCATCCGGAGGGATCGTGGCTTTGCTTTAACCTCACCCCAGCATAAATCTAACGCTGCAGGTTTCCTCTTTACTCGGTGGATCCACTGTGTAGATCGTGGAATCTTATCCCAAAGTTTATTTCATCACAGAATATGCCGAGGGTTGGGTGTGCTGCTACGTCAATGGTAAATAAGCACTAGGCAAAAAGGCAGTCTCCCATCCCTTTCTTCTTCTGGCTATTCTCTGATTGAACCCAGCGGAGCTACATTCATCTGCTATGCTCACAATGTCTTCGACGACAGATAATGTCGGGAAACGTCTTCTGGTCAACTTCATCGACGAGGCTGCCCGTAGCTCTCCGTCGGCGAGGGCAGTGTGCCAGCCCGTGACGATCGACTCGAAAACTGAGAATCATTTCTTGACATATCGCAACATAGCCAACGTAGTTAATAGGCTTGCCAAGTGGCTTGATGAATGCCTTCCTGCCGATAATGACTCTCGGACTATTGGGTCAGTTCCTGACGTCAAACGATATCATGGCATCTCTAACGCTCAGCAGATACCTGGCATCCAGCGATATCAGACACCTGTTATTGACGCTCGCCGCTATAAAAGTCAAAGCTAAGGTATTGCGGCCCAGGCAAGATTCTCTATCTCTCTGACACGTTGAAGGCTCTCCTCCTGTCACCCCGAAATGGCGCTGCAGTGCATAGGCATGTGCTTGAGAAAACCAACAGCTCATTCCTTGTTTTCGATGCCTCGTTTCGGAAAGTGGCGGACGAATTGCAACACGACGCACAGATACGCACTTGTGCTGTCCCGTCCCTGGTCGAATGTCTGAGATACGGAGACAATGAAGAACATTACCCGTACGAGGAAACGTGGGAAACCGCTACAGATGACGCTTTTGTGGTAAGGATCCAGCACACGAGTGTACGACTGTATCGCAGCTAATGTCCGGCAGATCCTTCACACGGCAGGGTCCACGGGTATGCCGAAACCGGTCACAGTCCCTCACTCCACTCTCGCAGCTATCGATGCACAGCATCTAATTTCTTCTCGGGTGGGACGAAAATGCGTGCTAGAAATCCTGGCTGAAGCAGATATGCCCTTCATGGGCTTCCCCTTGTTCCATACTGCTGGGGTTATACTCGGCTGGTTTCTCCTTCTCTCGGGCTGTACACTTATGCTAGGGAACCCGAACAAGCCAGTTAGCCGCCATATGGTTCGTGAAATCCTCAAGATACCAGAAGTCGATGCTCTTATCCTGCCTCCATCCGTGCTAGATGATGTGGCCCAGGATGAGGAATTAGTGAAGGACTTGTCTCGGTGTCGGTATATCATGTTCGGTGGCGGCATGTAGCATCGCTCCCATATCATACATCTGCGCTCAGCTGACTTGAATAGGCTCTATCAAATCCAAGACAGGAGACTCTCTGTGTCACAGAGTGCGGCTGATCAACAGCATAGGCAGTACCGAGTGCGGCGCGTTCGTCCAGTTTCCCGTGAAATCAGAGCACTGGTACTGCTATCACTTCAGCGACGAACTGAACGGCATTCAATGGCGACGGTTTGACCTGCAGCCTGACAGGTTCGAGATGGTCATCACCCGTAGCGAAGCTGCCAGTGAATTCCAAATGGTGTTCAGGAACCTTCCCCATTTGGAGGAATTCGAGACAAAGGACTTATTCTCCAGGCATGAAACCATGCGGGACTATTGGGTGTACGAAGGCAGACGCGACGACATCGTCGTCCTGTCCACGGGAGAAAACTTGAACCCGCTCGAGATCGAGGGCGCAATCAGCGCCAATCCCAGCATCCAGGGAGCGCTCGTTTTCGGCTCGGGCCGGCCCAAGCCAGGCCTATTGATAGAACTCGACTCTAAGGAGAATGGACAGCGAGTCGAGGATATCAAACAACACGTCATAGACGTCCTTCGTGACACGTATCGGCGCTGCCCCGATTTCGCTCGGATACCGGAGGGGAATATCATCTTTACAAAGGGCGACAAACCGTTCGCTAGGACGGAGAAGGGCACGGTGCAGCGCCGCCAAACAATCGAGGCCTATCAGAATAAAATTGACGCCCTATTTGACTCTTCCCGTGGGTTCGACGACCAGCATCTATCACTCGATCTGTCATCCGAAGAAGCATTTGCTGGCTCCTTGGCAAAGGCTGTAGCAAAGATAACGGATACCGATGGATTCGACACAAACAGTGACTTCTTCGATGCGGGACTGAATTCTCAGCAGGCCGAGATGCTAATTGCCAATGTCCGAGAAGCCATTCGAAATGAAGACTGTGGGTTGGACGAGCGCCAGCTCAATGAGGATGCAATATACACTCATACACGTGCGACGAAGCTTGCAAACTACATCTTCCATCCGTCTGAATCGCCCTCGCCGGATGACCGCCTACAGGCCATGTCTAGTATGCTTGACAAGTAAGTGAACTCTGTAGGTCTGTCCATTTGCATAGTTAACAGACTGTCACCAGGTATACTTCGTCTCTTCCAAAACGGGAAGGTAAAGTACAGGACCGACCCCACAGCCAAGAGCACATTCTTCTCACCGGAAGTACTGGATTCGTTGGATCGCATCTGCTCCGAGTCCTCTGTCGAAGGGACAACGTCAGGAAAATCACGTGTATCAATCGTAAGAATCCATCACGGTCGCCATCGAAAGCCACAGAGGGGATGAACGGAAGTGCTTCGTCGACAGAGGTGCAATACCTCACTGGCGACCTCTCCGCAGACAAGCTCGGGTTGGAAGAGAAGACATACACGGCGCTGACCGAGTCAGTGACCACCATCATGCACTGCCAGTGGCCAGTGACCTTTAAGAAGAGCCTGTCGCACTTCGAACCCCAGATCCAAGGTGTTGTAAATTTGGTACAGTTCGTGGTCGCATCAAAACAGCACCCGCACATCATCTTCCCATCAACCATTGGCACGGTGACCATGTGGGACAAGGACTCTCCAGTCCCCGAAACCCTGCTCACGGCTTTCGAGTACGCGCAAACCGGATACGGCGAGAGTAAGTTGATAGCAAGCCTGTTACTTCACAAAGCAGGCGAACTCGCCGGCGTCAGAGCATCAGTATGCCGTTTGGGGCAGGTAGCCGGACCGGTGCATACGGATGGCGCATGGCCTCTTCGTGACTGGTTTCCGACGCTGCTGGTGAGTTCAAAGATGATGGGATACGTTCCAGGCACCTTGGGCGCCCAGCGCCACTTGGAATGGATCCCAGTGGATATGCTGGCAGAGATGCTTGCCGATCTCGCGGAGTTGGATGGTTCGGTCAGTGACGAAGTGACGTCTTACTACCATTTTGTCAACCCCAACCGAGCTACGTGGGAGAGCGTCGTGCCAACGGTCCTCGACGAACTTCAGGGGACTCGCAAAACGGCGAAGCTGTCTGATTGGGTGAAAAAGCTAGAGGAGCATGCGGAAGACGCTAATTTACCGGGCGTGCAGTTGCTCAACTTTTATCGGTCGCTCGAGGGCAGGCCGTTGGAGATGGAGACGCATCATACAGAGGAGCGTGTTCCCTCTCTCGGGAAGGTTCCCGCGGTAAATGAGGAATGGATGCGAATTTGGATCCGGCAATTAGCTTCTAATGGGTCGATATGAAGGGGTCCGGAGAGATTCAGTGCGAGACCTTGCAAGGCTTGTTAAATTCTCTTTCTGTCGTCTCCCTGCCGCTTTGCTAGTTTAAAACTATGGACTGAAATGAGGGAGTGCTGGGACATCTCCATAAGCTAATCAGATTAAATCTTTATTGTTCGCTTTTATATATTTAGTCTGTGTGCATTGGCAAACAACACTTTATTCAGTTGATTGAATCGATTCTACTTCTACTCCGGCAAAATCAAGTATACCTTTATAGCGAACTCATTAGACAAACATCAGTATCTTCACTCGCTCTTCTACACCTCAGTCAGTAACGATGATTTTTACTTTGATATGGGAAGTTACTTACGTTGATTGCTCAAATTCAAGGCCCTAGGGTATGGAGAACTCTTGACTGATGGGATATGAACCTCCATGCCACCCAACTGCGAAATTGACTCTTCCAGAGAAGAAATAAACTTGGCAGCAACTGGGCAAGTCTAGTGGGTCATCGGGGTCATCTGTATAATGTTATTTCTATATTACCCAGCTGCCCCAACCCCCTCAGACGGTCAGACCACTCTAGCCCAGCCCAGGCACCATACTAACCCACTATCCCCACTATCTACCCAACCTCTCCTCTTTAACCAATCAGCTCACTCGATCGAGGCATATGAATACCTGATTTCAAATCAATGTAATCTAGACCTCAGCTTTGCCTCACTTTACCGATTCTCCTGTTAGCCCTCCGGAGCCCGAGACCAGTTTTGTGGATGGTCATGGAGACGGACGACGCGCAAGGGGACATTTTATATGGAGAGGACCAATCTGTTACGCAACCCAATCTGTTAAGAACAGATCAACAAATGAAGGAACCACTCTTATGTACTCCGTACAGGTACAAAGGCCCCAGTATGGGAATGTGTTAGCCAATCTGTCCAGATCCAGTCCTATACATCAATCTCAGACCCTAGCCACCCTCCGAACAACACTATGCGCCACTCTCCGTATTGGAAATCGTCTTCTCAATGACCTCCGCTGTCTGGTTGTACACGACATAGAAGTCAATCTCATTCGCAGGAGGGCCATACTCAAACCAAGTGCAACTGAAATACCATTGGGCGTATTCACCAAACCCCTTGGCCGGATTGATCACGTTCTTCAACCACTGCTCTTTCTTTTCGGTTGAAGCGGCACTGCCATTCAGTTGAGTGCCGGTCTCCGCGATGGCAAATGGTAGACCATAGCCTTTCGCATAGGTGTCGTAGAATTGACCGTAAGCCGTGCCAAAGTCGGGGAGATCATCTGCTTCCGGGTAATAGTCCATGCCGACAATGTCGACGTACTCGCTGCCGGGCCACCAAGGGGCCGCGGGTTCCGTGTCTGTGTCTTTGTTCGGGGACCAGAACATGTGGATTTGGTTGTTGGGCCTTGTGGCGTCGTAGAGAGTTCTCCAGGATTGTTTGAACGCATCGTAGTCACCTGGTAATTTATGATATGATGTTAGTTCACGGCTCCATCAAAACAATGAGTGATGGATAAGTTTACTCACGTCCGCCAGGGTAAACCTCGACATTAGGATCGGCGTAGTAGTTCATCTCATGCGCGTATCGCAGCCAAACAGTGAGACCCTGGCTTGTAAAGGTTTCATTGAAATAAGCCGCGATGGAATCACAGAGTTGAGGAGTGATATCCTCCCAGTTCACTTTTGGCATCAGCGACGCGATCAGAACAGCGCCTGAAGAGATGATATCGTCCACACGATATTGATAGTTGCCGTCGTACGACCCCGAGTCCACATTCTCTTGAGTGATCTGCGAGTAGACATTATACCTAAGGATCTTTCAGTATCCTTCCTATAAGACCCGGTATTCATGCACTTACGTTGCGCCCCTCTGACCTGTTGCTTCGTTGAGTTCAGCCATGGTGACGCGCGGGCTCCAGTTGGGAGCGTAGCCAAAGTATACGCCTTCATAGCTGATCATTGAGTTAGACTTGATGCCAAACCTCTCACCCAGCAAGTAGGAATGCTCGTTACAGTCAGTTTAAGAAATTGATATGACGGCGAGGTCCTTACCCGCCTGCGATTGACTTCAATCAGCGATGAGCTTGCGCGGCCACTCACGGCAAACGCAAGGACAATGATAGCAGCAACAGCGACCATATTGAAGAAAGGTGCCCAAAATGGTGTAGAATAAATGTACAGACAGAAGCAGCAAAATAATAAAGATGACATTCCTGAGGTACCTGTCGAGTCCATTTAAGTGCCTGGTTTCGAAGGATCAGCACCAGGAACTTGGTTAGCGTCATCCCTATACTGGCCGTGTTTTCGCACAGCCTCGCCGGGAGGCTACGCTTGCCCTCTGTGTTCATATAAATTGATCCACTATATAATCGTGTTTAGAAGTATGCCGGCAATCTACCGAGGGCCAGGTGTTAGACTGTTAGGTATGGGGCCGTATGGCAGCCGCATTAGGAAATTCGTCCTAGATAGAAGGTTGAAATATTTGCATGAATTGAATCAACCAATCGCAACATCAAGCCTCTTTAGACGGCCAATGAGATTGCTTGTTTGGTGCGCTAATCCTGCACTACAAATCAGTAGCAGGAACTAGCACGAGGCTAGCAGTGGCTTGTCGGGAATAAGGTTTGCAATGGGAATATGGGATGGTCGAGATCCTCTAATCCTTCTGGCTGAATCTGATGTGTTGATACTTGATAGGTCCTGTTAAATAAGCAAAATTACCTTAATCATCCCTGTCCGCTTCAGCCCAACAAGCATGACCATGAAGGTATATAGAAGAGTGCCCACAATCTCATGTGTTTGTTTTCTTGTACTAAATCAGACTGCCATCTCCACCCCCCAGGGAACTCTTTTTCCTCCCTTCTTTTCTCTCCGTTCTTTGTCCGCCGGAGGTCAACCGCTGCAGCATGTCCAGTTCAGCTACCCAGAAAGGATGGTACTACATCTACCTCCTCGTACTGTATTCTCTGCCCTTGTCGGTTGTCGGCAACACAACAACATACTACATCAACAAGGTCAAAGACTATTCTTCGCTGGCACAATGCGCTGTTTCACCGCTGAGTGCTGTGGTCCGTGATATGAAGTCTGGCTGTGGAGACGGTGGACAATACAGTTCCTACAGTTGCTTTTGTACCGCCAGCTCGTCCCAGTTTGCCAACATCATCTCCAGTGCGATTGAATCGGAATGCGGGACACAGTCGGATAGTCAGATCTCCACAGCTTTGGATGTCTTTTATAGCTATTGCCAGCTCAATACAAGCACGACAGCATCATCTGCGTCCACACACACAGGTATATTCCCCATTGTGCCTCGCCTGTAGCAGCTGCAATTAAAATCATTGCATAGACACTACAACAACTTTATCGTCTACTTTATCGACTACTGCAGCGCCGGCGTCTACCTCGACGCTTGCAACCCTCACAACAGTTCAAACTTCCACTTCTGATACCACTTCCGGCGCTGTGTCATCCAGCCCTACACGAACAGACGTACCGTCCAGCAAATCATCTAGTTCGCTCAGCACAGGAAGCAAAGCCGCCATTGGCGTCTGTGTGTCTCTTGGTGCCATTGGCATAGCGGCTCTCACTTTCCTTATTATTCGAAAACGTTCCCACCGCAAGGCGCAAGATCGAGACGGGGTCAAATTGAATTCGAACACGGCTACCCCGCGAGATATCCGTACGCCAGATGAAATGAAACCGGATAAGTGGCAGACATTTGAATTGATGGAGAATCCTCCCAGGATGGGCAGCCATATTCATGAGCTCTCCGCTGGGAATGTTCCACGCCATGTGTAGGAGAATTAGATGTTAGTCGGGCTATGTCTGTGCGCATGTCAGGCTCAAGTCAGTTACATGTCATGTTGGCCTGACGATCTCTTGTTTTATTGCAATTTTCTCTCTGTCGATTGTCCTATCATTCCCCAATCGCCTCGCCTCAGCTATCCCTCTCCATTTCAATACTTCTAGATATATGGCTCCACTGGGTTCACCCCGGTCTCATATCTCTTGTACATTGGATCTTGTATAGTCCTCTCTGCTTACACCAATGGGCGTTAAACTCTATTATTGATTCAACTTAATAGTTATCAGGGGTTAGGCCCCCTGCTTCTATGAGGCTATATCCAGTGTCTGATGCACAGCATGAGGAGAGCTCTCGGCCTATAATCATAGATCAGACAGAGCGCTATTAGGACCCCATGGCTGCACATAATAATGGTTTTTAGAAGCTAATCAGAAAGACAGAAAGCTGAAGTTTTTAGACCACTAGTAACCACATTTTTAAAAGGCTAGGCAATACTCTGTGTGGTAAGACATGCTCCGCTTCGCTCCACAATTAGGCTGTCATCACCTAAAGCCCCACGAATATCCTGAGTAAATGCCCCTTTTCCTAATTTCACCATATTCTACGTGATTAAATTGACAACCTCAATACAGAGTACTGCACCATCTAGACCTCTTTAGATTGTGCAGTCTCACCCAATGGTGGGAGTTCCACGGAGCAATGGTTGTCGGAACTGTCTGGACCGGCGGATCAAGGTAGGTTCGCTGCGTGTCAGACTTTTTTTTTTTTTTTTTTTCTCCACGCGTATGCTAATATCATCTACTTCATAGTGTGATGAAACCCATCCCAAATGCAAGCGATGTCGTGAGAGAGGCGCAATTTGTCCAGGATACAAGAAAATTCTCAAATTCTGCCCTCAGAAACCCATGTTGAAGAAGAGTCGGCGGAAGAGGAAACCCAACAACAACATTCCCCAGCATCATCGGCATGACCATAACCACGATAATAGCTGCGCACTACCAGTCGATCCAGTGTTTGAATATGTGGAAGCTTGCCGCCACCATCGACTGATCCTCCCTCGCACGAGCATAGACGAAACCTTTGCGCCGAACCTTGTCCGCCAGGCCCTCAATACACAGCACAGAGAGATCTTCTGCACCTGGATCATGATGAACTTCCCTTGCCTATATTCTTTATATGCTACACAGGTCGAGATAAACATCTTGGACTATATGCGGCATTACCCTGGGGCACCACCAGAAGCATTAGTGGGAGCCGTGTGTGCCTTGAACACACTTCACCTGAGCAATGCGCACAATGATCCGGCAAAAGTTGCCTCAAGTAGAGCGATATACTCTCATGGGCTGACAAGGCTTTCGGCCGTCCTGCAGGGCGGGATGCAGGACCTCACAGACGATGTTCATCTAGCCGCCATCCTGCTCGGATTTTACGAAATACTAGACGGGACAAGTCAGCGATCATGGCTGGCACACTCTCGAGGCATCACAGACCTCTTCCGGCTGAGAGGACCGGCGTTGCTATGCAGTGGAATTGGCCGCACGTTGTTCGTCTCGTATCGATCCTTCATTGTTACCGAGGCCTTCATCTCGAGGCAGGCATGCTTGTTTGAAGAGGAACAGTGGAAAGTAATGATCACCAACACAATAGGCACCGGCAGAGCGCAAGGAAAGTATTGCTGGCTAGTCACGGTCTGGGAGCAGGGTTTAAATGAAATCATCATGTGTCCAGGTTACATGGTCCGCGCGCAAGGCATCCTGACACATGCAGAGCCGGGCGACAAGGCTCAGAAGTCCGATTTAATAACTCAAATTCGAAGAAGCCGCGATGAATTGAGCTGTGCTGTCTCCCAACTGGCGATCGCTTTGACTGCTGAGGGAGAATTCCCCGAACCTGAGGACTCCATGGGAGCAATATCGGCCGACTTCCGTCACGTCTTTATCCCAACTTCCCTGCAAAGTATGCGCACAGCGATCAACCTGCTCGGCCGGTTATTGAGTATGCTTCTTATGAACGATACTATGAAACGGGCCGACCTTCTTCTGAGAGACCCCTGGGCTCTACTGGATACCAAGAGGATGGCCGATCTCGATCTCCAGAATGGACTTGATTGCATTGCCATGTCGATGGGCTTGTTAATGACTAAGACCTCATAATAATCATGCTAGAACGCGACTCCTAGTTTATGAGCATCTAGAATGTGGAAACGATAGGGCAGGTAGTGCAGGGGATCAATTTCCCACAGATTACGGTCCCAGCTTTCGTCAAGCAGGAACTTTACCGAACATAAGCAAATGAGACGCTGAATGAGATGATTATCATTATTCGCCAGACCGCCTTGTCTTTACTATCGACGCCTGGGGTCGCTGGTGCCTTCTTTTTGCCTTCCCCTTTGGGCTCTTCTGTCGGCTTTACCGGATCTAACCAGAGCAAGAAGCGTGTCCAGAAAACTTCTCCAATATTTCTAGATATGGCAACTTTCAGTTTTCTCAAACTCTAGTGGTGTGGCTTTAAGGAATTTGAGTTGTCTGTCCCCTGACCGGAAAAGCACTGAAATCCTGCTTTCCATATCACTGAGAGTTCAACAAACACCATGGCTGTCCGCACCACTCTTAAGTTCTGATTCCACATTTTAAAAAGGAGTGCATAGGAGTTCAGAGAGATTTGAGAATATGAAAAGCATTTCCGACAGATGCATAGTAGCGATGGCGTTATGGCGTGGGGAGTTGATTAGTCGTAATGGCTCAGTTAAACTAGAGAATGGACATGTATATAGCTGTGGTTACATTACGATAAACTGGTTGAACTTGTCGCTTTGCATCAAAGAGCATACTGATCTCACTGTCAGTAATGGCTTGGTTGCAAGTTACCATGGTACCACAATCCACATTGCCGATCCCTAAGAGCAGTCGCACAGTAGATAAGGTGATAATCTTTTCAGAAAGAGAGATCAAATGCCATATGTAAATAGATGCAAACCAACCCTAATGTACAATTGCCCTCCTCACTACACCAACATTAAAACAATGACAGTATTACAAACTCAACCCAGCTAACCGCCGAAACGCCGTATTCTCAAGTATAGGCATCTCCCCCACCATCTGCACACCCTTCCCAACCAACCGATCCTCATACCTCCCCATCGCCATCTCCGTCAGAAACCTCCCCAGCTGCTCCGTCGGACTGCACAGCCCCGGCATCGCCGCCCGAAATACGGGCCCCAGGGGCTGGAACAGACTCTCGTACATAGGCCGCGGGGGGAGGTACTTTTTAATCGCGTCATGGTGGGCATAGTCTATAAACGCAGGCCGGACGGAACTCGTCCTAAACAGCGGGAACTGGCGACGGAACTCTGCGAGTTCCAGCTCCGTCTCGCCCTTGACGCGGGCGAAGAGTGAAGCGAAGAAGCCGGGCTGCGTGGTGGAGCCTGCGCCGGAGACGTAGATGAAGTGGAAGGGCTGGTTTGGCGGGGGGAGACTGCGGAAGGCTTTTGCGGCTTCGAGGGCGTAGTCTTTGGTGATTTTGACGTACTCGCTTTTCTTGTCAGTATTTTTCTTTTAATATGATGGCGTTGACATACTCTTTGTTGACTTTTGTCTGGCTGATTCCCAGGGCCCATACGCAGCCTGTTGCCCCCTGCAGCTGGGAGAGGATTGTTGGGTCGTAGGTTTCAAAATCCTTGTGCACGATGACCTGCACCCGGGGATCATGGGCGTCCTCGGCCATTTTGACAGGTCGTCGGCTCAGGATGGATATTTTGGTGACTTCTTTCATGGCCAGCATGGCGTCGAGGACACCGGAGCCGACCAGGCCTGTGGCGCCGGTGAGGATGAGATGCATTGCTGTGGATGGGTGGTATCTCCAAATCAACTTTGTCTTGAGTTTAGAATTTCAAATAGGATCGAGGAAGGAATCTGGGATAATCATGGATTATATATATCCGCTGGGCTTACGCTTACGCTTACTGCGGAGTTATAGCGGAGATAGTTGATGTAGGCCTATGTCCGTCTGGCAGACAGGAGACGCTGCTTTTTTACTTGTCACAATAAAAGCACTCAACTAATGATGCTAGGCTATCATTTTTAGTGCGATAGCAGTAGTAGTGCAGTACATGTTCAACGCTGGTCTGTAGTCCGCCAGTCTTCATCATTCAGCGCTGTATATTTTGTTGTAGTTAATGTAATCAGTGAGCGAGTGGCACTTTTCAAGACCTCACTATGTCAACAACGCAATGCTAAGAGAGTCTAAAATTTATAAGGTAAACTAGTCTCATAATGTTTTTATAGGTAGGGGACCTATAATTCTATATATTTGTTGCCATCCATGTTAAAAGGGAGCATATTTTGATATAGCTGTATTTGCATGTGCACTGTATTAAACGCTTAAAATAGTCACTAAAATTGTCAGGAAAAAGAAACAGGCATTCTACATAGTGCATAGTAATTAGATCTAAGCATTAAAGATAAATCTCTAATACTAATCAGCAAGGTATGACAGATTATGTCATCTCTTACCATTTGAGCCATCATGAAGCTATTCAGATGTCACATAACAATCAGGTAATCCAATGCTGTCCAGCCAGGCAGAAGAAAAGTACATCTGACTGTACTCGGTAATTGACTTGACGATGGTTTGCCTTTAATATTAATGATCTATGTATAATTATGATTCAGGTACATTGAACTGTTTAGTCTGTTTAGCAGTCTGGATATATGCCTACCCGTGACAACACTGCCTGAGGTGTCAGTGTAGGATGCCAGATGACAACATCCAACGTGTCTTGCAGCCTTGTCCAATCACTCAGCCTGGAAATATCTCTCAGAGATGACATCTTTGCAGCAGGAGTAGTGTCGATCTCAGTCTGTTCTTCCAGGGGCGCGGTTAATGACGTCAGCATCAGATCCTCCATCATCCACCCAAAATACTTATACCAGTACCAAGCACGCGAAGTACTCCGTATACAGGAAGCAGGGTATTCTTAGTTCCCGGTTTCTGTATAACATCATCTATATAGTCCCCGCCGATCGTACCCTGGTACCGATATATAGTAATAGGTGCTGGCAGTCATTCCGCCTTCTTCTCGGTTCTGCCGCCGTCTGTGACCGATCGCCCGACCCTATGACGCCAGCGGCTGCAGCCATCTCACAACACAATCAGCCATCTTTCTCATCCTACACCATTCCAATTGCTCCCATTGAGCGAGTATAAATGACTCGACGCTCTCGATATCATCATCCAGGCTAAATCAGAGTGTGTTGCACGCTGTCACTCTGCTAGATCATGATCTGACAGTTATAGATGGACTCGCCAGCCAGTTCAAACCAAGGCCGCGAAGGCGGTCCACGCAAATATGCCTTCAACCGCGAGGGCGCTCGCGAACGAGAAATGCACCTGTAATCAATTCGGCTGAACCTTTATACTGACCCGAGCTAATGCAAAGCCAGCTACCTCCCCTACTGGGGCTTCTCCGACTCCGAAAAGTTCGCCCAGCAGTCGATCGGAACACACCCGAACGTGTCGCGCGACAATGTCCTCACCGTCTTCGCGCAGCTGGCCGCCCTGCGGATGCATGCTGCGCGCGCTTTCATCTCCCTGTTTGACAAGACAATGCAGCATGTTGTTGCGGAGGCGACTCCAGACCTGAGTCTGCGGGCGGCGGACGGTCGCGACCGGGCGGATGCGCTGTGGCTGGGGGTGCGCCGGCTGCCGCGCCAGAAGGTGACCATGTGCTATTATGCGGTCAAGTCGTTTATCGAAGAGGGACGGGATATATTCGTGGCGAATGATTTGACGCGCGATGACCGGTTCAAGAATCATCCCTCCGTCACGGGCCATCCGCACAACCGGTTTTATGTCTCGGTGCCTATCACGTCGCCGGATGACTATGTGATTGGGAGTCTGGCGGTGCTGGATGATCGACCGCGGGACGGTGTTACCGCGGACCAGGAACATCTTCTCAAGGAGCTTTCGGCGACCGTCATGGATCATCTGCTGTGTCAGCGAGCGATGAGGGAGGAGTACCGTGAGGAACGGATGGTGCGGGCGCTGGGATTGTTCGTCAAAGGCAAGTCGAATCTCGATGAGTGGTTCGACAGTGGAGATGCTCGGGATAAGAAATACGGGGGGCAGTTTGCTCTTCTGAACAAGAGGTTGGAGGAGCTACAGGCCACTGGTAAAAGCGAGGATGGGATGGATGGGATGGATGGGATGGATGGGATGGATGGGATGGATGGGATGGATGGGATGGATGGGATGGATGGGATGGATGGGATGGATGNGATGGGATGGATGGGATGGATGGGATGGATGGGATGGATGGGATGGATGGGATGGATGGGATGGATGGGATGGATGGGATGGATGGGATGGATGGCATGGATGGCATGGATGGGATGGATGGCATGGATGGGATGGATGACCAGGATGACCAGGATGAGAACGATGGCATGAATGGAGATGCTGGCAATGCTGGCAATGAACAGGAGAAAGGAATGCCACAGGCTGTCGAGGACAAGTACGGCAAGCATGGATCCCCCGTCCAAAGGTTCAAACAAGGTGGACAGGATGAGACAGACGAAGAAGAGAAAGACGGCAAGTCCGACGAAAAGAGTCATAAAAAGCAGCGACCAACGCTCTCCCCCACCACCAGCCAGTTGCGGGATTCCCTAGCCCCCAGCAACGTCCGGTCCGTAGTCAACCGCGCCGCTTCGATGATCTACCAAGCCCTCGACGTCGAAGGCGCCATGTTCATCGACGCCAGCGTGTACGCACGGCGGCAGACAGTGGGATCCACCGAGTCCAAACTTGGTACCCCTGAACTTTACAATGACCAGCCATCCCTGGACACCACCAGCGGGGAGGAGCAGGCCCCATCGACGCCCAACCCCGAGTCCCGTTCCGATACCGACGCCTCGGATGACGACTCGCAGTCCCGAAGCCTGGTGCTCGGTCATTTCACGTCGACTACCTCCGAGGCAGGAGTCAACCTGAAGGACAGCCATTACGTCTCGCTATCGGGGAACTTCGTCACCCATCTCATCGACCAGTATCCCCGGGGCAAGATCTTCCATATCGAGGAAGATGGGTCCATTTCTCTGAGCTACGAGGGGCTCGCCGATGATATGAATTACTCCCGGACGGGAAGCCGCGGAGCAATGTCGACCGAGCCGGAAAAGAAGGACGCCCAGCAGGAGACGAGGGACATCAAGGAGATGATGAAGGTCCTTCCGGATGCGCGATGTATCGCCGTCTATCCCGTCTGGGACTTCCAGCGGGGCCGGTGGTTCACCGTCTGCGTGGTATGGACCAATGACCCAGGCCGAGTGTTGTCGGAACCCAAGGACTTGACGTACCTGGCGGCCTTTAGCAATACCGTCATGGCCGAGGTGAGCCGGTTGGACTTGGAGGCCGCCGACCGAGCCAAGAGCGACTTCATCTCGTCCATCTCGCACGAGCTGCGGTCGCCTTTGCATGGGCTTCTCGGCACGGCCGAGCTGCTCCAGGAAATGGTGAACAGCTATGCTCAGAAATCCCTTATTGAAACGGTCTACAGCTGCGGCCGCACATTGCTGGATACATTGAACCACCTCCTGGATTACGCCAAGATCAATACGCTCACTCGGCCGCGTCCGTCAAACAAGGATGGCGCGCAAGGGTCCAGCGACGTGTCCAAGCCCCAGATGACCGTGCCTGGCTCTCTTCAGGATGAGAACCTCAGCGTGCTGGTGCAAGAGGTCGTCGAGGGTCTTCTCGCCGGCGCAGAGTACCAGCGTCGCGGCGCCAGGGATAGTGACGCGCTGGCCAAGAAGGAGGATCTCGGCCCGAAGAACCGTCTCATCACCATTGTCGATATCGAGTGGCAGGATAGCTGGCGGTTCAGTGTGTATGCCGGTGCCTGGCGCCGAGTCGTCATGAATCTCTTCGGCAATGCTCTCAAATACACCCAGGCGGGCTACATCCGGTTGCGGATGAGACGCGATAGCTTGCTGGTGGATGGCAAGAAAACTCCTGCGATTCGTATGACGTTCAGTGACTCGGGCCGCGGCATGTCCAAGGACTTTCTCACGAATCATCTCTACAGCGCCTTTCTGCAGGAGGACACGACTTCTCCGGGTCTCGGAGTCGGCCTGCATCTGGTCCATCAAATCGTCAAGTCACTCAGAGGACAGATCAGGTTCACCAGTGAGGTCGGAAAGGGAACGGACGTCGATGTCGTGCTGCCTATTGAACCGTCCGAGGTGTCCGGTCCTCCTTCCCCTCGGTCATTTGCCCCGTTGAAAGATCAACTGAGCGGCATGACGGTCTCACTATTCACGCGCAGCTCCAAGTTGGGCGACCTGGGATTCGACACTCGGATTTTCGACCGCATCCGGAACAGCCTTGGGCGCATGGTATCCGGCTGGTTCGGACTCCGCGTCCTGACGCCCGACGAGCTCGATTCCACCCAGCCGGATTTTGCCATCGTGACGGAACACGAGTACCGGAATTACTATATCGAAGGCTCGAACGAGCCCAAGCCAGACAGTGGGGAGGTTCAACCTGCTCTCCCCTTGATTGTTCTGTCCGCCCGAACCAGCAGCTGGAAGGCCTTGGGAGAGAGCGTCGAGGATTCGGTCATTTTCCTCACCCAACCGTAAGTGCTTTCCACAGAATTATGTGCATTGCTAATAGCAATAGGGTGAGCCCGAAAACACTGGCCACGGCGTTTGAGCATTGTCTGGGCCAGCCGGAGCGATCGAGCTGCTCATCGCCCCGGAAACTGCCCACGCCCGTGCAGCCTGTGGAGGACGCGATCCCGGACGCGGATAAAATGTTCGAAGGCATGGTGAACGGCGAGAAGGACCGGGTCCTAGAGCCTGTCCTTGGACGGGCGGTCAACGGGGAAGCCGGGCAGAAGAACGTTGATGGGGATGACGGCAAAGGAGCGAAAAATGTCCTTCTCGTAGAGGATAACCAAGTCAATCTCAAGGTGGGTATGCTAACCCGAGCGATCCTGCATCTCTAACGTGACAGATCATCGAAATGTGCGTCAAAACCGGCGGGTTCACTTACGACACGGCAAAGAATGGGCTGGAAGCCTTGGAAAAGTTCAAGGCGGGCAAGTACGATGCAGTCGTCATGGGTTAGTCGTCTTCAATCGTTTTTCCATTCCCACTTCTAACTTCTTGCAGACATTTCCATGCCAGTTATGGACGGCCTCACGGCCACGCGGCAGATGCGCGGGTTCGAACGAAAGACCAAGCGTCCCGAGACCACTATTATTATCCTGACTGCAGTTCTCTCCGCGTCGATGCAGCACGAGGCCATGATGAGCGGGGTGAATCTGTTCCTGACAAAACCGACGCCGCTGAAGCAGCTCAAGGAGATTCTGCGGAATCTGTCGGAAGGGAAGGACGTGTTGCAAAATTAGTTTATGAGTCATGAGTTACGTATGGCGTTGGGATGTATGGTATGGGTACCGGATAGATATGGTATATAGCATTGTGCATTAATAGCTCATACACGCATGCTAAGCGGGATGTTTGCTGTATCAAGTGTATCGCCTGTTCTGAGTAAATCCTCCATCATATGACTGATACATCTGTAACTTGTTCCTGTCAGTCGTGTAGACTATAGCGCCTACATTATACACAAGCGGATCCAGGGTACTCACCTCACATATAAGAGCCTGCCATCTCCCACTTCACCTTGGAGCACTTGGAGTATAACAACCCTGTCTAGACTCCCAGCATGAGCAACCTACCAACCACCAACCGCACCCACTTCAAGTAAGAAATAGAATACATCCGTCCTATACGAAACCCACTAACAATCAATCCAATCTCTAGCAATGTGGCCTCCACACACCACACCAACTTTGGCCCTCTCATCGAAACAATCACGGAAGAGATCAAGGACCGACACACCTGGATCAGCAGACGACTAGCCACTAACCCTCATCATGAACATCTGGGAGAATCTGAATCCATCCAACTACTAGACTACGCCTGCGGCGCAGGCACAGCCACCAAGGTACGCACACACCCAACAGATGTCAAGAAGCTAACAATTTTATGAGTCTATGACTACAGGACCTCCTCCCATACATAACACAGCCATCGGCCTCGATCTATCGGAGAATATGGTCGCGGGGTATAACAACTGGGCTCGCGTGCATGGCTGCCCGGGTGAGAAGATGCGGCGTATCGTCTTGATCTACTTGACTGCTGTGCAGCTGGAATTGATGGCGTGGGGCTCTCTGAGTTTAATGTTGTCGTTGTCTGTATGGCGCTGCATCATGTTACCGATGCGCAGCGGTTGCTGGCTCGGTTGGCGGGTGTTTGGAGCCGGGTGGTGTGTGTGTTGTTGTTGATGGGGTGCCGACACCCACGCCAACCCCAGGTGAAGATATGGAAACAGCTGACCTGCGGGCTGTACTATTGCCTGAGCAGCTGGATGTGCTGGAGACGATTAACAAGCATGGGTTTACAGAGGAGGAAATGCGGGCGTTGTATCAAGGCGCTGGACTAGGAACGAACTTTGAGTATGAGGTTATTAAGCGGCCGTTGAAGTTTACCATGTTTGGGCATTGGTTTAGTAGGAGGGGGTTTATTGCTAGGGGAGAGATGACTTCCTAATTGTTTGATGCTAGATATGTCGCGATTACCTTCGTATGAGATCTAAACTGCTTTCTTTTCTGCTAGGAGGAGCTCCATATCTTCTGCGACTAATTGCTGCACGATACCTGCTGCAACGGTGGATCCTAGTACGATTGTTAAAATGGTAATGTAAACAGGGTGAAATGCTCACCACTCCCCATCGCATTAGCAACAACCTTCATCGGAGTCGCTGCATCCCCCGCAACAAAAACCCCTCGCACATTCGTCGAAAACAGCTGATCGACCTTGACGCTCTGCCCCAGGATCGGGTCATCCTCAATCTCGACCCCAAGCCGGGTAATCATGTCTAGTCCAGCGAGGACAGTCCGGGGCTTGTGTGCGAGGTATCCCATCTTATACTCCTTGCCGCCTTCCAGAACAACCCTAACACCTATATCAGGTGGAAGAATAGGGACCAGTCGGAGAACCCTCGCCGTCTCAACTTTACACTGGAGTGCGTTAACCTTCTCCATCGCAGCCTTCATCGCCTCATTGTCTGGAACCGGCCCGTCGGTAAAGACAGTCACCGGGCCAGACGTAGGCGTAACAAGGAGATGCATCATCTCCGCCAAGTGCGCATACATCGGCTGCGGGAAGGTTAATATCCCCCCTGGGAGGTGCGATCGCTCAAACCCATCACAGAAGAGACACTGGAAGCTAGCGGGATCAGAATCATCCCTGCAAAGGCAAACGTGGCGGCTTACATATTCTGCGGCCAGTTCTCCGCGTACCCCTCTATCTCAGGAAACACATCGATGCAGCCCATTGCCAGTGCCAGCTTCCTTCCCTGCCAGGTCCGTCCATCGGCGGCGGTAATGTGAAAGGTATTAGCAGCGCCGTTTTGGGTGTATGCTTTCATGGCGACGATCTCCACCTCGAGAAAGTCCACCGTCCCGTACTTCTTGATCTGCTCTGTTGCGATGCGCCGGAATTCCTCTGGCGGGGTGCTATCCTGTGAGATGACATTGTGCATCTCGTGGACTCCTGCGTTGCGGAACCCTGCGCCCCCGGGTTTGGTGAAGATGGCTGCTCGGCGATGGATACGGCTGAGGCCTAGGGCGATGGAGAGACCTGCGGGTCCGGAGCCGATGATCAAGGCGTCGTATGTTGCCATGTTGTGGGTGAGGTGAATGATGGTGTCTGATGTCGGAGATCATCATTATATAAATGACGTATGAAGATGGTAACTGATAGTCCTACCAAGGTCTCGGCTAAGTCCCGACCTGCTGCATCATAAACACTCGTCTAGGGATCTACGAGTTAGTCTTTGCCATGGAGAGGAAGACGTCTCTGCTCCCAGCGCGGTGACTTTCCTTCTAACCGTCCGGGAGACAGCTCAGTAGAATATTCGCACAATCCTCCGTTGCTGCCAGAGCAGCAATTCCATATCTGCAATGTTCATATGGCCCTGGTCATCCCCATGGCCTAACGTGAAGTGAATGCTGCCCCAAACATGGTGTTTTACGATTATTACATTTAAGTGCACACTTCAAGGAAGTCTTGGCCCAGTTACTGACAGATTGAGCGTCCCGAATTGTCCATATGCAGTAAAGCATCGGTGATTATATTATTGTACCGCTACAGATAAACATAGCAAAAAGACCCAGCAGTCGTACTCATCAGATCCTGCATGGCAATCGACCCCCCATTCGCATACCCGAGATCAATCATCGTGCTGAGCGTCGTATTAGGCGACGCCGGAAGGTTCAGGAACGTGCCCGTCCCCGAGATGGCATACTGCCTGTTCTTCAGATCCAGAGCCTGCCAGATCCACCACACGCGGTCGATCATCCCGTGGTGCAGCCAGAAAGCCGGGTCGCCTGGACTGACGAACACGTCGCGGCCGGGGTCGCCGCCCATGGAGTAGTGGCCTCCGCCGTGGACGCCGATCGAGCCGCTGCCGGGGACGCCCTGCATGACCATCTGGAAGTCCCAGATGTCCTTGTTCTCGAGGATGAGGTCCACGACGGCGGTGGCGTTGGCGTAGCGCTGGAGTATCGCGGTGGTGAGATCGCGCTTCAGGCAGCGTGGATTGTAGTCGAGGGGGTTGGATTGCGCGACCATTGTCCCGCCGGGGAGGTTCAGCGCCGCGGGGCCCAGGTTGACCGTGTAGTTGACAAAGGGGCCGCTGGTGACGCAGCCGCCGCCTGTGCCGGCGGGGAGGTAGACGATCGGGTAGTTGCCGAGTGTCAGGGCGATGTCTCCCTTGTCAGCGACGTACGCGCTGTTGCCGGACATGGAGGTGTCGCTGCCGTCGAAGACGGGTGAGGTTTCCATCGAGTTGGCGTCCGCGGGCCAGTTCCAGTACCTGTCATGGTCAGATGGGGCTTCATGCTGCACTGATAGGGCATGATGCTTACGGGTGGTCGCCGGTGTATCCACACTCGTCGCGCAGAGCCTGCTCAAACTGGTAGATGAAGTAGCGGTGCCAGGCCAGGAACGTCCCCTTTGAGCGTTAGTCAGGGCCGTGGGCTTTCTTGGATCTTGCAGACGTACAGTATAGTGGATGTTCAAGGTCTGCTGGATATGCGTCGCCACAAAGTCGTCATAGCGCGTCTTTGCCCCGGCGGCCACGCTGGACGGGGTACGCGCAGGCAGCTGCTGCAGACACAGAACCGACTTGATGTACGCCTTCTTCTGCGAGGACGAAAAGGCTCTCCAGTCGCGCCGGATGCGCAGGTTGCTGAGCGAGCAGCTGCCACGTTTTATGCCTGCGTTGTTTGGTACGTTGTCGGTGGTGACGTTGTATGCAAAGTCGGCGAGCTGGTCCAACTGGGAAGAGGCTGTATCTGGGGAGCTGGCGGCCGTAGTGGGGGTTGTGGAAGCGTCCTGGGGAGAGGGCATAGCCAAGGCCCCTGTCAGGAGGAGCGCAAGGCTCAGATTGCGGATAGCAACCATGGTGACTTGACTGGAGAGAGGGTATGATACTTGAAGAAAGAGGGTACGACGGCCAATTTGTAGGATTTCTTTCAAGTTGACTATCCCGTCATATCTAGTGTTCTGCGGTAGGTCTCCATGGATCTAGCTGATATAGTTGGAGCTACGGAAATTACTAGCTGTACTCCGTAAGCGCAAAAGGTTCGGCAACTCGAGTGATGCCCTAATTGAACAATCTCAGCCATTTATTTACTTCAGTGCACACTGTCCAGTGTAGCGTGCATTAGTGTGCATGAGCCTCGACTCTCAAAGCCAGTGCCCAGACACTTTAGTGAAATGAGGGCTACCATCCACGAGCCGGTCAATTGACTAAGGTAGTCAGTTCTGTGACTACAGGTCAGCTAACCTTTACTAAGGAGTTTAGCTAACAAATATGGGTTAGCTAACCTATATAAAATATAAATATAAAAGCTCAGCTGACCTTTAACACTAAATTAAAATTTTATATTCTATATTAATTTTTAAATATTTATATATCTTACCATCTTAACTAGTTCAGAACTAGTTCACTATATTATTATTAGATAACTTTTATTATCTTAAGAATAATTAAATATTAATTAATTCTCTTCTTAATTTATCATCTCTTACACCTGAATCAGAGTGTAATAAAATATTAAATAAAGTAGATAAAGAAATTTTATATAATTATAATTATATAAATAGTATTCTAGATAAAGTAGTAAGAATATATATCTCTCTTTATATACTTAATAAGCTTAACTAGTTATTAACTAGTTTATAGCCTATACTAATTATCCCTATTATATATAGAGATAAAAGGCCTAGAAATACTACTTAATCTATTAAGTATAGTAATTATTTACTAGAATATCTAAGGTCTAATAAGAATAGCTATACTTATATTATAAAAAGTTATAGCTAGAATTAGGAAACCTTCTAGAAATTATTATATAATATAAATACTAGTTATAAACTAGTTTAAGACTAGTTACTAACTAGTCTAGATATAATATATTTATTAGTAGAAAGGTATATCTTAAATAACCTTTTTACTATTTCTAGAGTATAATATTAAAAAATATATTTATTATTATATAGGGGTTAAAGTATATAAATATTTATTATTAAAACTAAAGAATATTTATTATACTTAGGTTTTACTAACTATTTGAGAGAAAATATCTGAGATATACTCTAGAATTACTAATTCTAAATTAATATATGTAGAGTAAGCTATATAAGGGTAAGAACTAGTTTATAACTAGTCTAGAATTAGTTACTAATTAGTATTAGGATCTTCTAGAGTATTAAATAGTAATTTAATAAAGATAAAGCCTACCAGTACTAAATAGTAATATACTAGCTAACTAGCTAGTATTAAGACTAAGTAATATTTAGATTAGTATATATTTAATCTAACTAGTTATATACTTCTTATAATAACTTATATTTTTAGTAAAGAAAGGGAGGGCTAGTGTTAGACGCAGTGAACCTGTACATAGCTGAACTACAGGGATCACGTGTGTGGCACATGACCCACAGAGATATTATTAACTACTGAGGTGTGAGATGCTTGCACCTTAGTAATTAGTTCTACTATAAAGGTATTACTACTACTATATTATCTACTATTTAATAGGGAGTATTCTATAGGTGCTCTTATAGTTTTAATTACTCTACTATATTAAGATAACCTAGTAGGAGCACTTTTATATATTTTACTAAAGTAAGATAGTTTCTACTAGGAGTACCCCTAATATAGGATAACTATGACCTAATAATATAAATATATATATAAATTAATATAGAGGCAGTACCCTAACTACTCTAGAGTATAGTAATATTACTAGGCAGAGATCCCCTTAATTCTTAAGAGAAGATTTCCTAGCTATATAGAGATAGGTTACTAAACTAGAGTAGATTAAATATAATAATAAGATACTTAAAAAGCTTAGTAAAACTGTTATATATATATAGTAAATATAGAGTATATAAGATTAGACTATTACCCTATCTATATAAATTATTTAAGGTGAACCTAAGTAAAATATACCTAATAAACTAATAACTATAAATAATAAGATATAGATACCCCTTAGAACTAGATCTGCGCCACCTATAGTATATATAAATAATAATAATACTAAACTACCTACCTATAATGATAATAAGTAAGATAACTTATTAGATATAGGTCCTAAATTAGTACTAAAGGCCCTATTTACTATAGGTTTCTAATTTAAAAATATATATAACTATATAAAATTTATTAATAGTATAACAGTGCATTTTAAGTAATATTCTTAATATTATATTAAGAATTACTAAAAGGTTAAAGTAGTAGTTCTACTACTTACTAATAAAATATTTAACTAGTAGATAAGGTATTATAAGTTATTACCTATAAAGTAGATATAGGAGTAACTTACCTAATTCCTACTAAAGTAAGTTAATAACCTAAAGACCTTAGTATATAATACTATAYAGARATATATAGATGCTAGRTAATTAGAGTTATAGATAGTAGCTAACTTTATAGTATACTTAGAGTAATAGAAATCCTAGCTTAGTATTAGCTACTTAGATAAGTAAAGGAAGATCTAACTCTAGATAAAACTATATAYTAGTATATAAAATAAGATTCTATAATACTAGATTATAGAGGATCTCTTATATAGTAGTTATATTAATAAAGTTATATCTATTAAGAGCTAAATAGTAGAATATAAAGATAGCTTATTAAGAAGAGTAGATATATCTAGCTATAGAGACTACTAGAGATAAGGTAGAGGCCTAGAGTTAAAGAAATATAGTTTCTATAATTAAAAAGAGTATTACTCTAAGAAAGATAGAGGCCTAATTAGATGCTATAGCTATAATAGTAAAGGCTATATTATAATTAGATACCTAAAGTATACTAAGGGTAATATAGAGTTAAAAAACTAGATAGCCTAGTAATATATATAGTAGTAGTGCTAGACCTAGGTAAAGAAGCTATAAATACTATATCCTTAATACTAAATATAAAAATAGCTATAAATAAACTAACTAATAATATAGCTAGGAAGGATATTAGCTTACTCCTAGATATAGATATATAGGGGAACTTTATTAGTTAATATTAGGTAAAAGAAAACCTACTACTATGAGTAATAAGTATACCTTACTAAATTAAGGCTATTAATAGCTAAAAGGTAATATTATATAGAAGATATTACCTATATATTACTACTATAGATGTACAGGGAACACCCTAAAGCATTAAGATAGAATTTTATATAGTAGATATAATAGGGTATAACTTTATCCTAGGGTAGCTATGGCTAGTAGTAGTAAACCTAATAATTAATTTTATATAATATATATAGGAATATTAGGTAGATAAAGATCTAGCTAATATATCTAGGGTAGAAGTTATATTACTAAAAGAATATATAAAGGGTATCCTAGCTAATAATATAATATTTATTATCTACCTATAGGAGATAGTAGAAGGAGAAGTACTCTTATTCTTTATCTTAATAATAAGAGAACTAATACTCCTAGAGTAATACTAAGAGTTTATAGATATCTTTTCTAATAAAAAAGCTAATATACTTACTCTAAATATAGAGTATAACTATACTATTAAGCTAGAACCAGGGAAGCAGCCCCTATTTAGACTAATATATAATCTCTCTACTATAGAGCTATAGGTCTTAAAAAAATATATTAAAGATACACTAAAAAAGAGATAAATAAGATAATCTAAGAGCTCTATAGGAGTACTAATCCTTTTTACTCTAAAGAAAGATAGCAGCCTATAATTATATATTAACTATTAAGATCTAAATACTATAATAATTAAGAACCACTACCTCCTACCCCTAATTAGTAAGACACTAGATAGGCTATTAGGAGTAAAGATCTTTATATAGCTAGACCTATATAATGTATACCACTAGATCTAAATCAAACCTAGTGATAAGTAAAAGACTATATTTAGAATATAGTATAGGCACTATAAATACTAAGTAATATCTTTTAGACTAGTTAATATACTAGCTACCTTCTAGACATATATTAATAGCACACTAAGTAACCTACTTAATATTTACTATATTATCTACCTAGATAATATATTAATCTACTCCCAGAATGAGGAGGAATATAAGAAGCATATCTAAGTAGTATTATATTAACTATAGAAGGTAAAACTATATACTAAGCTTAGTAAATATATATTCTATATTAAAGAAGTAGATTTCCTTAGCTTTATAGTTAGAATCTATAATGTGCGTATAGAACCTAAGTAAGTTAAAACCATTATAGAATAGCTAATGCCATATAGTATTAGGGAGATATAGATCTTCCTAGGGTTTATAAACTTCTACTATTAATTTATTAAAAAATACTCAAAGATCACCACACCCCTATCTAAATTAATAAAGAAAGATAATAAAACTGCGTAATTTATACTAATATAGGAGGTATTAGGAGTATTTAAAGAGCTAAAGTAATACTTTATAACTATACTAGTACTATAGTACTTTAACCTAGAATTATAGGTCTATCTATAGATAGATATATTAAAATAGGTAATAGCTAGAGTGCTTACTTAGCTATTTAGAGCAGAATAGTATCTAATAGTATTTTAGTTAAGGAAGCTTATCACAGCAGAGAAGAACTACTAAATATATAACTCTAAATTACTAGTAATAGTAGAATACTTTAAGTAATAGAGGCACTACCTAAAAGGAAGTAAGTTCCCTATTCTAGTACTATTTAACTATACTAATTTATACTATTTTATAATAATAAAGAAGCTAAATCTATATTAGATAAGATAGGTAGAATACTTATCTATATTTAATTTCTTAATTAAATACTACCTAGGGACTAGCAACCCTACTAATACACTTAGTTATTACCTAGACTATACTAATAAGGCTAAAATTAATAATATAGACCTACTATAGCTACCTATACTATAAAATAAGCTATATATAGGGCTTCTA